TGTGTAGGATATTTTGATACCTTTTCATTCTCTATAACTGGTGTATAGATTTATAGGTAAGATATGAACTTTTGATGCTTAGAAGAACAATACAACATTTAGAGAAAACCAAAAGGAGACATATCATGTGTTCAGATTGATCAGAAATGATTATCTTTGATAACTAAACTTCCTGGGTTTAGCTGTGACATATATGTCAAATAAGGAGGCTATTTGGTGGATGAAATAAAACACCACACTCAATGATACTTATTTTATATCTTCTCTGATTAAAAACAAGTTCAGCTGTTGCTGAATAAGTCACCATTGTTATTCATAACAAAATTCAGCATCAGGTTTCAATGTCAACACAAGTTATAGTATTTAAGACTTCATAATGATATTGGGTTCTGAGTCATAAGGTTTGCACGGTTTGATAGTGCAGAAAGGACTGAAATAGTAATGTATCAGATCTTTAGGGTGAACAAGAAGGGACAAGAAATTTTAAACTATGGTGCAAAATTAATTGTGATCTGACCTTTTAAACCATTTGTAGAGTTCTTAAAGTACTAGTAGGATTTTACTTGAGGATCAGGTAGTATAAATTTATGTTGTGTTGAGTATAGTTCTGAGTGAATTCACAAACACTTTTTTGCACAAAGATATAGTTGTATGATTATGAAGATTGAAGTATATACTTTGTTGTCATTTTCTCAATAAAGGAACACTTAACTTTTAGTAAAGATTAAGCAACAGAAATCTTAAAATACTCCTGTTAAAGCCTTGTAATAGAAAACTATGGAAAAATGACGTGAATTGGGCCTTTGTTCTTTGTATAATAAAGTTAACAGTAATTGACAATGATACAATAAATTTCCAAAATAATCAAAATTGTTTTATACATTCAGGTGTTTAACTCCTCAAGTGAACTATTCTGATTAAAGCATCTATCTACCTGTCTGGCAAGTGTTATGTAAAATTTGTCACAGTTGTAACATCTTCTCCAGAACCTCTGGGTCAAATTTCAACCAAACTTGCCACAAAGCTTATATAAGCATCCTTGGGTGAAGGGGATTCCAATTTATTTATATGAATATTCACACCTCTTTAAAGGGAGATAATTAAGAAATTGTGAAAATTTGACGGCATCATTTAAAAATTGCAACCCATTCCCTAACAGAGGATAATTGGGAAAAAAAAACATGACAAATCATTAATTAAAAAACCCAAAACAAAACAGTACATTCCACACACATGCTGTTACAATGGTAACACATCAATGCTGAGCTCTCTGAAGTGTCTGATCAGTCTTTTTACTCTCCTCTCACACTGTGAAAACTGAATAAAATATTAAAATATATGACTACTGCTAAACAAGTTCCTCAGATTCACACTAAACAGAGAAGGAAAAGAGTACCTATCATTGACTTCACCTTTCAAGGTCTTATCATTTTTCTCAAAATCAAAATTTTGTCACAGAAGAACCATTTATTAATAACAATTTATAACAAAAATAATTGTTGAGACTTTTTGTAAGCAGAAAAAGGTAGATCATTACATTGCACCCGATCCCACCTCTGATGTTTTTAGAGGTCCATGTTTGCTCTGAAATCTTCATATTTCATATGGCTATTCAAATGTTATTCTATTTGGTCTTCTTACTGTGCACAGGACAGTAGCTGATGAAAAAATAGAAACTGAGAAAAGTCAGATTGTAATTCTTACAGGGGCCTGGACACAGATTTGAAGTTCATATATTTTCTCAGATTTTCTGTATAATATCATGACTTATATGTTGCTATAGCATTTCACATAGAAATATAATAAAAGTGAGTTCAGAAACTTCTTTTATCTGGAAATTATTGAAACTACAAATATCGGGATGCATTTTATTGACACATCCTTGCACTTTCATGAAGTAAACCTTATCGTTTATACTTAAGAAAAGTAGAAATTATGTTGTGTATTAATGAAAAATATTAAAACTGTAATCCAAAAAATTCAGAGTAGAAATGTGAGAAAGCAAAACCAACTCACCAGTATTGTCAGTCCGTGCTCAGTGATGTGTGCAGAGTTTAACAAATTGAACACTCCCAGTGAATTGTAAACACTATCAATAACAGAGCTCGTGCCTTGTTTACAAAAACAGATGTTTGACGTGATGTAAAGAAGAATGTCAAGAATATTCTTGTAAGTTCAATTCATTTAACTGGTTTTATTTTTTGAATAAGTGTAGAAATTTAAAATGTAAACAATGCAACTGTGTCCAGGCCCCTTCAAAGGAGAATAAAGTCACACATTGTTTATTTTTCTTGATAATTCCACTCACTGTTGAAAGGAAACAGGTCTATGTGTTTTATAAAAATTAACAATCAAATAATGACAGAGGATATTGACTTTTCTGTTGGTTTAAAGTTGTTTGAATTCTTCAAGAACATTGATAGCATTAATTTACTTTTTGACAATAGTGCAAGTTTAGAGCATTCACAAGTCATCTGGTCTTGGACTAGTCAGTGCAACTGTAATTTTTTTGTGCTGGACTTGGACTAATCAGTGAACTGTGTTTTGTGCTGGACTTGGGCTAGTCAGTGGAACTGTGTTTTAATTATGCTTGACTTGAACTAGTCAGTGGAACTGTATTTTTTGCTGGACTTGAACTAGGTAGTGGAACTGTATTTTGTGCTGGACTTGGCCTAGACAGTGGAACTGTGTTTTGTGCTGGACTTGGACTGACTAGCCAGTGGAACTGTGTTTTGTGCTACCTTCCTGTCTGTGTTGTATCTTTGGTTTCTTGTGTAAATCTTCAGACATATATTCTTTGGGATTGTTGCATTTACAACTTAACTTACCAAGGCTTCAGACTTCACCAAATACTTCAAATATTATCAATAGGCCTTATTTGACAGTTTCTGTGGTTTGGTATGTTGGGGTTTGAAGGATAACACTGGTTTTCGATAATTTCGTAAGTAAGGTTGTCTCATCTCTGTCAGTCTTTGCATTAGCCAGATTTTTAGCTCTTCTGAGCCAAAGGCTCAAAGAGCTAATGCTATGGCCATTTGTGGGGTGTGCGTAAACTTTTTAGAATATGGGCCATAACTCAAGAACCCCTCGGCCAATTATTGTCAAATTTGTCACAGGGTATCCTTGGCCCAAGGGCTCCCTTTTATACTAAAACTGGGGTTGTGACCCTTTAACAAGGGGAGATAATTAGGAAAATAGAAACAAAAGTACTGGTTGCTAAAAAATCTTCTTCTCAAGAACCACTGGGCAGATTATCACCAAACTTACACAAAAGGATGAGGATATGTTTAGATTAAAATTTGCATGGGGATTTACCCTTGGGCAAAGGGCGTGGTCTCAAGGTCACTTCAAAGTTGACCAAAAATTACATTTTATTAAAATGTTGATATTTTGCTTACTATAAGGACTAGGATCATCAAATCTTGTCAGTTGGTGCATCTAAGGACCTCATATCATGTTGACTCAAAAGTAGGTCACGGTGACCTACTTTTTAAATTTTGCGGCCATTCTTTTTCAAAATGATTTAGAGGCATATTTTGAAGAATTTAAGGCCTATGATCATCAAACTTTGTCAGTTGATGCATCTTGGGTCCTCAAAGTACGTCAACTAAAAAGTAGGTCACCTTGACCTACTTTTTGAATTTTATGGCTAATCTTTTTTAAAACAATTAAGGTCATTAATTCGAATACGGGGAGGCTTAGAATCATTAAATCTTGTAAGATGATGCATCTTGGGGCCATAAAACATATTTATTAAAAAGTAGGTCACAGTGACCTACTTTTTGAACTTTGCAGGCATTCGATTTCAAAGCGTTTTAGAGGCATAATTTGGACATTTTAAGTCCTATGATCATAAAACTTTGTAAGTTGATGCATCTTGGGTCCTCAAAAAAGGTCAACTGAAAAGTAGGTCACCGTGACCTACTTTTGAATTTATATGACTATAATTAAATATTTCAGGTACTAATTGGCTTAGAATCATCAAACTTTGTCAGTTGATGCATCTTGGGTCTTCGGAGTAGGTCGACTAAAAAGTAGGTCACCGTGACCTACTTTTGAAAATTTATGGCTGTAATTAAATATTTTGGGTACTTATTGGCTAGAATCATCAAACTTTGTCAGTTGATGCGTCAAGGGTCTTCGGAGTAGGTCGACTAAAAAAGTAGGTCACCGTGACCTACTTTCGGAAAATTTATGGCTTTAATAAAATATTTCGGGTATTAATTGGCTTAGAATCATAAAACTTTGTCAGTTTATGCGTCTTGGGTCCTCGGAGTACAACAACTGAAAAGTAGGTCACGGTGACCTACTTTTGAAAATTTATGGCTTTAATCAAATATTTCGGGTACTAATTGGCTAAGAATCATTAAACTTTGTCAGTTGATGCGTCTTGGGTCCTCGGAGTACAACAACTGAAAAGTAGGTCACGGTGACCTACTTTTGAAATTTTATGGCTGTATTTAATATTTTCAAGAATTATTTGGCTTAGAATCGTCAAAATTTGTCAGTTGATGCATCTTTGGTCCTAGGAGTAGGTTGACTGAAAAGTAGATCACGGTGACCTACTTTTGAAAATTTATGGCTTTAATTAAATATTACAGGTACTAATTGGCTTAGAATCATCAAACTTTGTCAGTTGATGCATCTTGGGTCCTTGGAGTAAAACAATTGAAAAGTAGGTCACTTTGACCTACTTTTAAAATTTTATGATTATAATTTTAAAAAACATTTTAGGTATTAATTGGCTTAGAATCATCAAACTTAGTTGATGGGTCCTCAGAGAATGACAAGTGATAAGTAGGTCACCATGACCAACTCTCAGGTACTAATTGGCATAGAATCATCTTGGGTTCTCAGAGTGTGAATTGGAATTTCAAGGGTTTATGTAAATATACAGGATACTCCGAAGCTTCAAATAGAAGTGATAGGTTGTACAGTTTATCAGAAGAGCAATTCAAGGCCCATGGGCCTCTTGTTATTATTTTACTTCTGGTTTTCAGGACCACACCTTGGTTGGACAACAAGATGCTAGAGTACAGCAGGATATTCAACTGTCAGGGCTGGGAATCATGCCTGAACATTGTGTGGTGGACATTGAGAATGGTGATGTGTGGCTCACACCTGTAGAGAATGCCAGGTCTGTACATTATCATTCACAATAAGCTAATATCAGTAAGGCCATATAAAAATATTGGGTTGGTAGGTACATGGAGGTGGAAAAATCTTTTTCCAGAAAATTTCAACTTATTTGTTGACAGGATGATAGGAATGAAAAGAAAAAATAAATATTGTAACCAGGAATGAAAAAAAAATTTTTTGAGTCAGGCAATTTTTAGCCAGTCAGTCAGGAGAGGGCAAACAAACAATTTTTAGCTCACCTGAGCTGAAGGCGCAAGTGAGCTTTTTGGATCAAAATTTGTCTGTTGTCTGTCCTTGTCGTCGTTGTTGTTTACTTTTTACATTTTCATCTTCTTCTCAAGAACTACTGGGCCAATTTCAACCAAACTTGCCACTAAGTATCCTTAGGTAAAGGGGATTCAAGTTTGTTCAAAAGAAGGGCCACACCTTCTTCCAAGAGGAGATAATTATGATTTTGCAAAAAATTAATAGCATCATTTAAAAATCTTCTCCTCAAGAACCACTGTGCTTGAAAGAATGAACCTTAAGTGGAATCATTGTGAGGTATTGTAGATTCAAGTTTGTTCAAATCATGACCCCTGGGGGTAGGGTGGGGCCACTATGGGGGATCAAAGTTTTGCAAAGGAATACATAAGAAAAGTCTTTAAAAATCTTCTCAAGAACAGCAAAGCCATGATTTATCATTTTTATATGGAAGCATTGTCAGGTATTGTAGATTCAAGTTTGTTCAAATCATGACCCCCTGGGGGTAGGGTGGAGCTACAATGGGCGATCAAAGTTTTACATATGAATACATAGGGAAAACCTTTGAAAATCTTCTTCTCAAGAACAGCAAAGCTATGATTGGTCATATTTATATGGGTCTCTTGTTTTAAAGATGCCCTAAAGCTAGACAGTAAAGTGGTAATATGTTGTTTTATTTAAATGACAGGATATTCTTTTAAAGTAAATCTGAAAATTTTAGTTCAATGAAGGAACAAGTTTTTCTTATTCCCCACCATAAATATAACCTGGGCATATAGTGTTTGTCGTGTCCATCCTCTGACTGTATGTTTATCCGTCACACTTTGTTAAAAAAAAAAAAAATTTTTTTGACCTTGACCTTTTTGATGACCTTGACACCACTTTTTCTCATTTTGCATTTAACTTAGTTTCAAAGAAATTGTTCAGACATTTTCATCAAACGTCACACAGATACAAATAGCTGTTTCAGACCAATAAATTCACTTGTTTTGAATTTTCTGTCTTCCGACAGCCATTTTGACTTACTGACAATATCTCGCTAAAGATGTCTGTAGATACAACTATAAAGGGTTAGGAGGTGGATAAAATGGACAGGTTGATAATAGAATATGTCTAGAATTCAGGAATGAAGGGTAGTTGATTGATCAGTGCTGGAAAGTGGAGAAATACATCCCCAACTGTGCGCTTAAATTGCACTTTATTTGCATAATGGGATCTGTAGCGTTATGGTCAAAGACTAAAATGTAAAACCATAATGCTACAGTTCTGCAGCTATAGACTTGGGTGTTTTTTTGTGTCGCCTGCAGAGCAGAGTGGCACAAAGGGATCACTTTACATGGCGTCTGTCCTTCTGTCACACCCTGTGTCTCAAGAACCGTTAGAAGTATGGATTTGATATTTTGCACATATATTGCTTGGCACTATAGCTTTTGCAGATTACCATGGTTACCAACCTTGTGACTTTTGACCTTAGCCTTTGACCTACTTTTCAAAATAGTTCATAGTGCTGATATACAGCACATTTTTGACATTTTTAAAAGAGGTAAGCCTATGCTATTTAGCATTTGCACTGTTTGTCATAAAATAATATGAAATACCAGCATTACAATCCACTTGACCTTGACCTTTGAACTTCTTTGCAAAAAAATATCTCTGGCAGTTTAATTAAACTTAAGAATTTTGAATTTTTAGAGGCAGGCTTTAGATAATTAACATTTTATACATGTTTATGAGGTCATGATAGTATACGTTGAAATGTAATAATGATAGTCAGTTATCACACAAACTTATATTTAAATACTATGGATAATAATTGAAATAGGTATTCCACAATGGATCATGTAGACTGAGAATTGCACTAAAGACAGACTAAAATGACTTTCGAATGATTATTGAAAACATGTTTAGCTCATGAATAAGTACTTTGAAACTGTATGATACTCAGTTACCACACAACCTTATATTTAAATACCATGAAAAAACATCGGGATTGGTATTCAACAATGGATCGTGTAGATCGACTGACAATTGCAGTAAAGACAGACTGAAATCTCTTTTGGAGGAGTTGGTTGGAAACACATATTAATAAAATGACAAATAGTTATTTCTTATAATTTCAATTTAATTATTCATTTGAGGGTTATGGAACCATATTTTCTTTGATTGTCAGATTCTACCGCAGTCTTATTCTATCCATGGAAGCCATTTTTCTTTGCAGGCAGCATGAACTATCAGTCTATCATGCTTATAATAAATAAAAAGCTGAACATTCTTAGATTTATTTACACCTTTAATGAAGCTACAAAGCAGGCAACACATGCGTTCCTTGGAACACTCTAGTTTTTTTTATTGTATAACAATACAACAGTAATATTGTAAGAATGAATTCTGTATTATTTTTGTCATGAGGGATATTTTCCTGTTGAAAATTAGAAAATGGTATCACTATAATTTAGACAGTGACATTTGAATGAACACTGGATAGTGTGTACAAAAATAACTAGGAAAATTGACTCCAAATATTATCCAGCTTTTGTTGAGAGGAAATTCACTTATTTTGTAAATTAACATGTAAATCAGATTTGCTATCAACTGAATTGAATTGGAAAAGTGCTTTACAAAGTCAGATTTGTTGTGAAACTCTGAACTAATTAGGTATTCTAATCACAATTTTATCCCCACATGGTAGAGTTTGGCTTAATGAGGACAAAATGGTTGTGTGACAGCAAATCATGAGATTAGCAATTATTGCTTTTCATGAGATTGATTAAGCATAGCCCTAAAAAGTCCAAGTGATAAGTAAATGGAAGCAGGAAGTCTGGTAAATCAATAACTCTACCAGAACACATAGAGAGCAGATTAGCTGTGCCACAAAAACCACAGTTTGATCAGAACTGGCAGTGGCCAGTTTTCCTGGTCATCACTGTAAAAATGTAATCTCTCATTGAGACAGTAACTGAATAAATTAGTTGTAATAGATTCAACCTTAAGTGGTGCAATGCCTTAATTCAGAGAGAGAAATAAAATACAAAAATAACTTAAACTTAGACCTAAAAACATATTTCTTTACATTGCCTTGAAAATGTTTTTTTTAAAGAGTTTTGAATGATATTTCTGTGCAAGTAATTTTTAACAAAATAATTAATAAATTTATCAAGATTTTACAATCAGTTAAAGTTTTTAGTCTTAGTCATAATTAAGTGCTTATATATATGTAAAATAGGGCCCCAAATATCTCTTTGTAAAAAAATATTTTTTAAAAGACACCCTTATGTGTTTCTCTGATTTCAGTAAGACATACAAGTGACCAAGTGAACTGCACTATTCTAAATATGTTTTGGATTTCAACTTAGGTGTTGCCATGATTAAGAAAATTAGAAATTTCTGTGAAATTCTTTAAAAATGCTATTCTCCTACAAATTATGGTTATCTATAGTTTGATTTCAGTAAATCTTGATACACATACACACCAATGATACACCAGATACACAATTCTCTATCAGTTTTGGATTTCAACAACTGATTTTGCCATTGTTATTAAAACTAGAAATTTTGTTGACATAATGTTTTGAAACACTCCTTCTTATCCAATTTAGGTTTTTCAGTAAAAGTCAATACAGAAGTAAAATATTTTAAAATACGTAATTCTACAGTGCTCCAAGTCACACTATCAGGTCACTTAATGACAAGCTAAAATATTTTTGGTTGCCATTCCAAAATTTCTGGTTGCCTTCAACAATATCTTACTCACTGACTCACCATGGCAAAAGGTTCTGTGCAGAACATAAGTATATATGTATTACATGTATAAAAGTTAACACAGAACATGTTACTTTGTCTTTATGAAATCAAAGACTGTTTATAACTGTGATTAAACAATTTGCTTGGAGGTTGAAGAAAAAACATTTAGAATATTGTTTTTTCAACAACAGGTTAAAGTATGTAAAAGCTTGTTCACAACCAATCCCTTGGCTGTGTAGAGTAAACATAAAGACATAGATGATCTGATCATCAGAACCAAATTAAATCAAATGCATCAAGATTGATTGATGTGTGCATAGGTTGATCCCCTACTGATGACTTTACTGTGTATAGTAACTTAAATTCTTTTAACTTGTGCTATGAATTACCCCAAAACTGTGATTTGCAAGCAGTTGACCAAAATCTTCATTTTACAGAGTTGGGTTTCAATAAGAGACATGTTTGGATATTACTGTTAGGATGCTATTGTTTGTACAACACTATAACCAATTTTACTTAACCAGGACTTTTGCTTTTGGCCCCATGCTGTCATAATGTTATGTAATCTATATCTTAGCAACTATATTAAGATTATTTAGAATATGTCTTTTCAAATATTTTCTTGACAGGGTATATTTTAAAAGGTAAATCTTGATCCTGATCATGAAAATGTTCCATTGCCTGCCCACATTTACTCAGTCAAAATGAAAGTTTCTTTAATTTGAATAATTTCTGTCACAAAATCAATTTTCTGGTCATGAATGTGATTATTTTAGTTGCAACTTGGAGCACTGTTCCTTTTATCTCTTTTTGATTTTGACAAATGGTATTGCAATGGATATTAAAAATAGAAATTTTTGTGAAATTGTTTCAAAACACTATTACCCTAACATCATTAAAGACTGGTACACAAGTAATTCAATAAATTACGTAATTTTTATCTTCTGGGCTGTAACTTTGTTATGGCGGATCTTTGGAAGCTTATACTTGGTACAAAGATTGTTCAAGAACTGAGGATGTGTCTTGATTGTGACCCAAGGTCATTCCATTAAGTTCAAGGTCACTGGCAGAAAAATGTATCATTTGTGTATAGGCTATAACTTTATTATGGAGAATCAATGGAAACTCATACCTGGTACATAAATGTTTATGACCTGAGGGTTTGTTATGACATTGACCCAAGATCAGTCTGGTACATGTAAGTTCAAGGTCATTGGCAGAAAAAGTTTATTATTTGTGTACAGTCTTCAACTTCCTATTAGAGAAACATTTGAAGTTCATATTTAGACAAAGATTGTTTATGAATTGAAGGCATGTCATGACCTTGACCCAAGTTCAAGGTCACTTTTAGAAAAAAAATTTAATTCCTGTCCTGACCATATTTGCAATGGAGAACATTAGAGGCTAATATTGTATGTGAGCTGAGGATGTATTGCTTTAATCCAAGGTCATTCCAGCAAGTTCAAGGTCATTGGCAGATAAGTGTTTTATTCATGTTTGGTCTGTTACACTCAAATTGAGTCTTTTTGGAAGTTGATATTTGACACAAAGATTGCTTATGACTTAGGAAGTGTCATGATCTGACCTAAGGTTATTTTGGCAAGTTCAAGGTAACATTTTAAACATTGCATATTGGAACTTTAAAAACAAGGAGCATGGAAGGTGAGATATAATTTTGTGAGCTCATTAACAGTACTTCTAGTTTTAATTGGTACTTGATTTGAGAAACAATGTTACACTGGCTATTAAAAATAGAAATTTCTGTGCTAGCAAATAGTTCATCTATCAGTTTATTTCATTTTATTTTATACATCTATTGAACTTTAATAGTATTGTATTATACTCAGATGACCATTAAAGCCCTTGAATTGGGCCTCTTGTTTCTTAACAAGAATCCTACAATAGATCTGGATATGGTTAAGTATAAACTGTTTCAGTGAATATCATTAAAGCCTGCAAGATTTCCTGAAAAAGGAATTTCAAACTTGATATTTTGCCATACATGTTATATATACTGTAACTACACTTATTTTCCTGGGGTCAAAATTTTTATGACTTGAGGAAAAATCAAAGTACTCAGGAGTACAGAGAGCTGGGCTTATTTACAGAGCAGTGACCAGTACCGTTTTACATGAAACATACATGGAATAACTGCTACATAAGAAGTTCAGAAATATTATTTTGCGAAAACTTATTAAATGCATTTAAGTTTTTTAAAACACAGGCATTTTTTTTTAATCGTCTCTGTATAATCTCTGTATAACAATATACCTGTATAACCTCGGTGTCAGGATATTGCATTATGTTACCCACATTTGATTTAACTGGAACAACAATCTGCAGATTATTTTGTTCAATATTTTCAATTTGCAGTTCGCAATACTATTGTCATCTGTGATTATTTTATTCCCCTTTTTAATTTTAGTTTAATGTGCTAAATGTCACAACATCCAACCTAGTAACAAGTGCGCATATACTTTGCACGCGTGGCGAGGCAGTGAAATTTTCCATCATTCTATAAATAGAGGTTGTCTTATCAGCTAAAAATATTTTGATTGTGTGTCGCACGTGGCCTGTGTGCACATATACGAGGGGGTATCAAAAAGTTCGTGGACTAGCGCCATAAAATTAAAACCGCTTTAGGTACATCAATGATTTTTATAATATTTAGTTAGCATCATCTTTTCTATCTATAGAATAAACTACAAATCCTAAATTTTATTTTTATATAAATTAGTAATGTTTTTGTAAGCAATGGTATGTCCAGGCGGCGCAACCTCGAACGTGACGTTTTTTCGACTTGAGTGTAAGTGAGAAAAACTCTTTTGATATGAACATTTGTCATCCAAAAATCCTGATAATTCAGGTATGTGATGGGACACTATTGTTCCGTAAAATATGCAATTTTTACCTCATTCTGTAAGTTTCATGAAATTTTATCATAAATTTTGTATAGAGTGTCCAAATAATTAAGGGCTTGAAAATGAAATCAAAAAAGGGGGAGGGTTTCTTTTTCCAACATTCTATAAAGTTTTGCCCCTGAAAAAAACTGGTATAGACCTAGAAAATGTTTAAACTGGCTACAGAGAAATAAAATACATCCAGAGAACTTGTTTTTTTAATGTCAAAATCGATTCAGAGAGAAAAGGGATGCACAGTTAATGTCGATTTGTAGTCAAGGTGGGAAAAGTCAATCACGTCAAAAAATGACGTTGATCATGTGTGGTAGAAATTGAACTCTAAAAAGCAAAATATGCTGGCAAAATGTAGCGAGGATCTCTCCCAATGTATAAATCCATTTGCAATATTATATGTATTGAAAGCAGCTGTTCATGACATTGTAAAGTCATATAAACAAGACGGGCTTAAGACCTTACTTAACTCCAGGGAATCTCAGCAAGATAAGTGTATGAGGTAGAAGAATCTGACATTGAAAAACAATGACGTTGTCGGACGTCATGAAACTAAATGGCGACAGCGCCGGATGATCATACAATGTCGTTTTTATTTTATAATAATTTAGCAAATAATGAACCTATCAAGCTAAAATTTTCAACATGTCCTTATTTTTAGTTGTTTTATGTTCCTTATAAATTTTGAAAGCACAGACTACTTAGTACTAATTTTATCGCCTCAGTCCACGAACTTTTTGATAACCCCTCGTATATATGGCAGCAGAGCTAGGTTACGTTCACTCTCATACAGGTATTAAGCTTGCCTGACGTAAGAAAACAATATATTGCTGATATTTGAAAATTTGAAAACTTTAATCAAGCGTCATCATCAAGAATTATTTGAGAACAGGAACTGATCTAATTTGAAAAGTGTAATGGTAGAGACAGGTAATGTTTACATTGGCCGTTGTTGGGTTACCATCCGGCGTACTCCGCCGCGCTGAGAAACAATCCCGAAAGCCGGGCCATAGCTTACGCTATGGAGCCCGGCTAATTACCGGTTTGGGAATTTTGTTTCGTAATTAAAGTAGAAATATTATAAAGCAGAATGTAATTTTCATAATTTATGCGTAATATGAATTTGTGGATCTCTTTATACCTTGAAAACAACCAAAATTATTAAACTCCTTCGAAAATTTGAGATTTCACAGTATGTGGCCAACATAATTATACAGAAACAGATAATTATCCAGTTGTTCAGAATGATGTTGCTAGTTGCTATGTATCGTCATAGCTTAGTGTAGCATCAGAGATATCATTTTGTGTTCAAAGCTTTTGAATTTGCATCGATCAACAAAATATACTGAAATGCAAAAGAAATGCAACATCCTATTTTAGGGGGAAATATTATATATAAGATATAATTTTGTATCTAAAAAGTAAGGACATCTTCAACTTTGTAAATATCGGTAATTTAACGGTTGAATGATTTTCATACCATTACTGGAAGATAAGTTTGAGTCCGCTTTACAGAAATAAAGAATTGCATGTTTAACAAAACATTTGGCAATAATATGGGGTTTTAAGGGATTGTATCTGTTCATCATAAATAAAGCAGCAATATTCCAAAGAAAAAATTCTCTTTTCTTTTCTGTAAGCGATGCCAATGCTTCCTGAAAATGACTTAAGTATGCATTTCCATTGCTGTAGCTTGAAAATCTCGAAATAAAGGTGATCCAGAGTTGCAGATGTTAATATGCACTACATCATGCCTCTACAGACTCGTACGTATCATTAGCTTGAATTACAGTCTGGAAGTCCAAGGGTTACTACACTGCGCTAGGCTAGAGAAAATTCGACCTCATCATCTGAAAAACAGGCATTTAAAAATGGTAAAGAATATTTCTTTCGCTCATATCTCAAGATTGATGACCCTATTGCATTGTAGAAATCAAGCTGCCGTTGTTGTGCATGGAAGTCCTGCACGCTGTAATTGAATGGCTGGGGTGGGGGGTGTTTTAACAGTCACGTGTTACTTTTCAAAGTTAAAAGATAATCATTTACTATTTTTATCAAATCTCGGATATTTTCAAATCGAGTTTTACCTCACTGTATTCATTTTGAAAATCATTATATTAAAAAATCAAATATTGGTAGACTACTACCTGTTGCGTTTCTTTTGCGTGTCAGTATATTATTGGTAGATGTCTGGTAGTTGATGATACAATTATAAACATGATGTGAACAAGGAATCTTATCAAATGATTTTATATTTACAGAACTTGTGTGAATGGTTCTGTCATCCACAAAAAGACAAAAGTGAAGAACGGAGACAGAATACTCTGGGGAAACAACCATTTCTTTAGAATTAACTGTCCTAAACAGAACAGTAAGTTGGATGTTAATCTACGCATTCTAGAGCCAAAGGCTCAAGTGAGCTTTCTGATCAAAGAGTGTCTGACTGTCATGTGTTGTCTGTAAACTTTTTACATTTTGAACTTCTTCTCTAGAACCACATGACCAATTTTAACCAAACTTGCCAAAAAGTATCCTTGTGTGAAGGGGATTTAGATTTGATTGAATGAAGGGCCATCCCACTTTCAAGGGGAGATATTTAAGAAATATTTAAGATATATTATATAAATTTGGTGGCATCTTTTAAATATCTTGATGAACCACTGGACCAAAAGTGAAACATTTGGTCAAGTCATGATGCCTAACAATTTTTCATTAGAGTAACTTTGAACAGCAGGGCCAAGGCTATTCATGTGGCCCCTGAGCCCTTTGATAGAGTCAAATATTTACAACTTATATCAATTATGTCTCCTCAGATTAACCTCTTACAGTGAATATTTTGAGCAGTTAACAATAACACAGGTTTACTTATGGAAAATTTAATTTGTGTTTAAAAAAATAAATAAGGCAGCTCATTGTCAGTATGAGAATCCACAGGCAGTACAAACTTCAGCCACTCTTAAAAATTTCAGAGTGAACCATTTGAGGTTTTTATCTTAATACTCAAAATATTTTCTCTTACATTCCCCCCTCCCCCTTATCATTAACATGATAAATGTAAAAAAAAACTTGAGAGATTGCTCCAGTCTATTTTAATTATAGACCAAAAAAAAAAAAGATTCTTGTTAAAAGAGTCCAATGCTTAGATACCAGCCTAATTTTTAGTATACTTCATTAGATATTGAATATTTGACTGGTATTGACTCTGTTAGCATTCAAGAAAATTCTTCCAAAACACAAGATGACTACATAAAAATCAACTTTTGACAAATTTGCTGCTGAAGCATACCATTGTCTGTTCCTTTACCTTTAAGATAGCAGGTTCCCTGTCTCATCCAATAGACCTTTGACTAGTATTTTTCCTTTTTAGCTCACCTGAGCCAAAGGCTCAAGTGAGCTTTTCTGATCAAAATTTGTCCGTTGTCTGTCGTCGTTGGCGTCGTTGGCGTCGTCATTGTTGTTGTAAACTTTTCACATTTTCATCTTCTTCTCCAGAACTACTGAGTCAATTTCAATCAAACTTGGCACAAAGTATCCTTAGGTGAAGGGGATTCAAGTTTGTTCAAATGAAGGGCCACGCCCTCCTCCAAGGGGAGATAATTACGAAATAGCAAAAAATTAATGGCATTATTGAAAAATCTTCTTCTCAAGAACCAATGGGCCAGGAAAGATGAAACTCATGTTGAATTATTATCAGGTAGTGTAGATTTAATTTTGTTCAAATCATGACCCCCGGGGGCAGGGTGGTGCCACAGTGGACGATCAAAGTTTTACATAGGAATATATAGGGAAAATCTTCAAAAATCTTCTTCTCAAGAACAGCAAAGCTATGATAGGTCATATTTATATGGAAGCATCCTCAGGTGGTGTAGATTCAAGTTTGTTCAAATCATGACCCCCAGGGGTAGGGTGGGGCCACAATGGATGATTAAAGTTTAACATAGGAGTATATAGAAAAAATCTTCAAAAATCTTCTTCTTAAGAACAGCAAAGCCATGATTGGTAAAATTTATATGGAAGCATCTGCAGGTGGTGTAGATTCAAATTTGTTCAAATCATGACCCCCGGGGGTAGGGTGGGGCCACAATGGACGATTAAAGTTTAACATAGGAGTATATAGGAAAAATCTTCAAAAATCTTCTTCTCAAGAACAGCAAAGCTATGATTGGTCATATTTATGTGGAAGCATCCTCAGGTGATGTAGATTCAAGTTTGTTCAAATCATGACCCCCAGGGGTAGGATGGGGCCACAATGAGCGATCAAAGTTTTACATAGGAATATATAGGAAAAATCTTTAAAAATCTTCTCAAGAACATCAAAGCCACTGTTTGTCATATTTATATGGAAGCATCCTCAGATAGTGTAGATTCAAGTTTGTTCAAATCATGACCTCCAGGGGTAGGGTGGGGCCACAATGAAAGTTTAAACTTGTAGAGTTAAAAGTCACAGTTAGTCAAAAAAATATGTAAGCATCCTTAGTTAGTGTAGATTTAATTTTGTTCAAATCATACCCCCCACTCCCTTTTAGGGGTAGGTTTGGACCACTTATGCATTTAAGCTTTTCAATACTAAACTGATTTTTCCTTTTTTCCTTGCCACTGTGCTCAGGTGAGCGATGTGGCCCCTGGGCCTCTTGTTTGAGATCCTTTGAATTAAAGTAGACCACTGTCTGTAAACTTTTCTTTTGACAGGCCCTCAGTCTCAGCCTACAGAACTGGACCAAACCATTGACTATAATTTTGCTCAACAAGAGTTGATAATGAATGAATACTCTAATGACCCGATTCAGGAAGCCATTTGTGATCTGGAGAAACAGTATGAGGAAGACAAGCAGGGTGAGATACAATGTTGCCTGTCTATCTGTATGTTTATTAAAGATAATCAATAAGCCTGTTTTCATTTTGTCACAAATTGTATACAAACCAAACTTGCCATATGATGCATCTAAAGAATTAATGTTCTGTCAATTGCATGTTTTATGTGCTGATTTTTAGCTCTACTGGTCAGAGACCAGAAGAGCTTATGCGATAGTAAGGTGTCCATCATCCGTCCATCTGTCTGTAAATAATTATTTAAAATGCTACTCCGCCTACAGTTTTGGTCTGATTTCAATATAACTTGGCACACATGTAGACTTCACTAAGATACATAATTCTATTTATCGGTTTTTTATTTCGATGAACGGTGTTGCCATGGTTACTAAAAATAGAAATTTCTGAGAAATACTTTCAAAACAATACTACTTCTTCAATTTTGGTCTGATTTCAGTATAACTTGGCACACAAGTAGATTACACTAAGATACATAATTCTATATATCAGTTTTTCATTTTGATGAACAGTGTTGCCATGGTTACTAGAAATAGAAATTTCTGTGAAATTCTTTAAAAATGCCACTCCTCCAACAGTTTTGGTCTGATTTCAGTATAACTTGGTACACAAGTAGACTACACTAAGATGCTTAATGCTCTGTATGTTTTTCATTTTGATGAATGGTGTTGACATGGTTACTAAAAATAGAAACTTCTTTGAATTACTTTCAAAGTGCTACTCCTCCTACAGTTTTGGTTTGACTTCAATAAATCTTGTCACAAAAAGAGACTAAACCAAGGATCTTTATTGTATTGATTGCTGTTGCAAAGCTTCAAGTCCGAGTGCTACTTTTCTCTTCCTTTGTTATAAATACAAACTAGAAATACAGTCTCATCAGAGACTTCTGGTCCCTATATTCAAGGCTGCAGTAACTCTGGTTTAGGACAGTATATTGGTCTGTTCACATTTTTCAAACCAAACATGCATATTCTGATTACTAAATGCTTTTTCTAATGCAATAACTCAGAAGTAGTAAAGTTAATATGTGTTTAGTACAAAAAATATTGAAATGCAATAGTAGCTGTTTCAGTGTTGGAATAAAGGATAAATAACACAAACATTTTCTTTTTAGAAATCAACAATATATTTTAATAGTTTTATGTAAATCATATAGATAACTTGAATAATGCTTGCCGTAGTCATGGTAGTAAATGTTGAAATTTTGTAAGATATTTTGTGATAATTTAAGTAGAATGCTGATTGGCTAATTGTTAGGCCATTATTTAATACACTGAATTGTCTACATATTTTTCTGTTTGCCCGATTGTGACATTGAGCACACGGCAGGTGAGACCGGTCGACAGGGGATGCTTACTTCTCCATGGCACCTGATCCCACCTCTGATGTTTTTAGAGGTCCATGTTTGCTCTGCTCCCAATTTGTATTGTTTCAATGGACTTTTAAGCTTGATTACTGTCTGTTATCTCCATATTTTATCTAATAAAATGTGTGCAAAAAATTATATAGATTTAATTAGAAAATGGCTCGATTAAGTTGCATATTTGATCTATGATTTTATAAATTTTAAGAATTTATTATTTAATGTCATTTCTTTTCAAAATCATGCAGTCAAAATATATATCTATCAATCCATAGATTTATAGCTCGCTTCAACAAAGTTGGGGGAGCTTATATAATACCATCAGTGTTGGTGTTGGCATCCCAGATTTAAATTTTTGGTGCTGTTTTCTTTTTAAGTATTTCTTTGCATTATATTGATCCTAGTTGCACGGCTAATGCATCTAGTATGTTTAATTGTGTCATTTAGGATTCAGATGCTGCATTTTCAGCCAGTATTTTCCTTAAAAATGACCAGGTTAATTTGGGGGGAGGGCAGGTTCAAGTTTTTGAAGGAGGTCTCATTCCCAAGTAACTAAAAGCCCTACCTGGACAAAACTTGCATGGATGATACATCTAAGAATGCACCCTGCTAGACTTGCTTCAGATAATGGATCTACATTCTTTGGAAGAGTGAACAGGTTCAAGTTTATGGAGCAGGTTCATTCTAAAGTAACTAGATCAAACTTGCATGTATGTTGCATCTAGACTTGCTTCAAATGCTAGATCTGACCTACATCTTCTGTAGGATTGACTAGATTAAAGTTTTTTTTTTCAAAGAGGTTCATTCCCAGGTTCTCATAAGATTATAAGTCTTATGCTAATCACATATTTGAATGGAGGATGCATCTAAGGATGCTGAATCTTACATATTCAAGATTAAAACATTGCTGTGACATCATGCCTTTGTTCTTGCAGTCTAAAAATTTACCTGTAGCCGTCCGATAATAATAATTAACAGTCCAATAATAAAATATCGGACGACAGTGATAACCAAATCAGACAGTAGTTAAAAAACAACAACTAGGGTGAAATCAAGGTTTAATTTGTCCAGAAACCAAAAAAAAGGTCAGGGAGAAAAAATTCCGGGAAAGCGAATGTGAGGTAAAAATAGCAAATCCAAGAAGAAACTGGAGTTTTACCTTCTTCAAAAGTAACACTTTCCATTCGTTTTTTTTGCAAAGCATTTTCGATACGGCATTGTGAATAAGCCAATTTAAATCCATTTCTGATAAAGAACCAGTCTGCGAATCTCTTCATTTAACGAAGTTTATTCGACTGCCATTGAATGAATGAATGAAACAAAAGAGTTCACTCACTGATTTTACTGTCTAAAGAAAAACAACTTTCTCTTTTCTTTTGTCTACTTATAAGATGGTTTCAGGTAGAAAACTATTGATGCCTGAATTCCTATTGTGTAATTATCGGACTCTTCCAGGTAACTTTTGGACATTTAAATAGCAATGTTTTAAGTAAGATGTATGGTTCATACAATTCTATATGTAAAATTATCAGACTGTTTTCGGTCCTTACGGGCCTCAAACAGTCTGGTAATTTTACACATAGAACAGTATTCAGCATATATCCATTACTGATTGAACAGAAAAATATTATAGAGCAAGTCCATTCCCAAGTTATCCTTCCCAGACCAAACTTGCATAAATATTGAGTCTATGAAAGCACACTAGAAGAATATTTGTTTGGGTGAGAACTGCCTAACTTAAAGAGAGCATTTGTTGAGGTGAGGTCTATAATCTTTGATTACCTAACTTTTTCTTTGTGTTATTTATCCATAATTACTCTTTAACAGAGGCTTTAGAGAAACAGAGACAGGAATATGAACAAAGGATGCAGATTCTGAGGAACCAAATTATGTCCCCTGGTACCCCCAGTAATCCCTATCTCAACTTCAACAGCTTCACTCCCACCGGCACAGGTTCCCAGAATACACTGCAGAGGAAGTATCAAAAGTGGGCAGAAAAGAGGTACGAACTCAAAACCCACAGGTTCAAAAATTGCCAGACTTCTGTAAAACATTTTACTATTTATTGATGCTGACAAATAAATTGAATCAAGGGAAATGTATACAAAACTGCATTTTTAGCTCTTCTGAGCCAAAGGCTCAAAGAGCTAATGCTATGGCCATTTGTGCAGTGTGTTGTGTGGGTAAACTTTTGAGAATATGGGCCATAACTCAAGAACCCCTTGGCCAATTATTGTCAAATTTGTCAGGGGGTATCCTTGGACTAAGGGCTCCCATTTATACTAAAACTAGGGTTGTGACCTTTTAACAAGGGGAGAAAATTAAAAAAATAAAAACAAAAGTACTTGTTGCTAAAAAATCTTCTCAAGAACCAGTGGGCAGATTATTACCAAACTTACACAAAAGGATGAGGATATGCTGTAGATTAAAGTTTGCATGGGGATTTACCCTGGGGCAAAGGGCATGGTCTCAAGGTCACTTCAGAGTTGACCAAAAATTACATTTTATTAAAATTTTGATATTTTGCTTACTATAAGGACTAGGATTATCAAATCTTGTCAGTTGATGCATCTAAGGACCACATATCAAGATGACTCCAAAGTAGGTCATGGTGACCTACTTTTTAAATTTTGCGGCCATCCTTTTTCAAAATGATTTAGAGGCATATTTTGAACACCGTGACCTACTTTTCAATTTATATGAATATAATTAAATATTTTGGGTACTAATTGGCTAAGAATCATCAAATTTTGTCAGTTGATGCATCTTGGGTCTCCAGAGTAGGTCGACTGAAAAGTAGGTCACTATGACCTACTTTTGAAAATTTATGGCTTTAATTAAATATTTCAGATACTAATTGGCTTAGAATCATCAAATTTTGTCAGTTGATGCATCTTGGGTCCGCAGAGTTAGTCAACTGAAAAGGAGGTCACTGTGACCTATTTTTGAAATTTTATGTCTTTATTTAAATATATCAGGTACTTATTGGCTTAGAATCATCAAACTTTGTCAGTTGATGCATTTTGAGTCCTCAAAGTATGTCATCTGAAAAGTAGGTCATTGTGACCTACTTTTGAAATTTTATGTTTATGGTAAAAATATTTCAGGTATTACTTGGCTTAGAATCATCAAACTTAGTTGATGCATCTTGGGTCTTCAGAGAATAACAAGTGATAAATAGGTCACCATGACCAACTCTCAGGTACTAATTGGCTTAGAATCATCTTGGGTTCTCAGAGTGTTTCATCTAAAATGTAGGTCATGATGACCTACCTTTGGAATTTCAAGGGTTTATCTAAATATACAGGATACTTAGAGGCTTCAAATAGAAGTGATAGGTTGTACAGTTTATCAGAAGAGCGATTGAAGACCCTTAGGCCTCTTGTATATTACTGTAACAGAAATCCTCATAAATACATCTAGTTTTATGGTATATATTGATACATGTACAGTACGTAAAACATACTTACTACAAAGTGCCATGGATGAATGATTTTGCTTCATTTGTAGCCTACTACACTTGTATTGAAATTGCTTCTTTGAAATATCGCTTATTTTGAAGTAAAACTAAATCCCCAGTCTCAGTTTCTCATTATCCTTGCAATGAAATATCAGTTAAATTGAAATCACTTATATTGAATTTTTGCTTATTTTGTAAATTATCTTTCCCCTGAGCTGATAACGAGTTGTTTTTATAACAGTTATATTAAACTGAAGTCTTCCTGGCCAGTCGTAGTTATGGTTGGTCATGCTAAGATGTCAGTAGATATATTTTCCCGTAATATGTTTTCATAACATGTTTATTAAAATAAATAAATTACTGAGGGGTTTTTCCTTCTCTCAGATTGCATATTGATGGTGCTTTTGATCAGCTGTTTGAACACATGCGTGTGTAAACAGGTGAATCACAAGAAAAAAAACATTGTCTTTAGATAAGTAAAATGAATTAATGTCTGCATTAAATAAAAATATAAAATCTTGATCCAAATACAGCTTACTCCACTTATATTGAAATCGCTTATTTTGAAATTCCGCTTATTTTGAAATAAAAATAAATCCCCCGTTTTAGCTTCTCATTTTCTTTGCATTAAAATAACGGTTATAATGAAATCGGCTATTTTGAAATATCGCTTATATTGAAGCCACTGATCGGTCCCTAGAGGTGACAATGAGTTGTTTTCATAACAGTTATATTGAAGTACTCCCTGTCGGCTGTCCTTACGGTTGGTGACAGTAATTATGCCTGACTGACCGGTTGATATACAAAGGTGTGAATTAATAAGTTCTCACCTTATTAGCTCACCTGAGCCAAAGGCTCAAGTGAGCTTTTCTGATCAAAATTTGTCCGTTGTCTGTCGTCGTCGTTGGCGTTGGCGTCGTCGTTGTTGTAAACTTTTCACATTTTCATCTTCTTCTCCAGAACTACTGGGCCAATTTCAACCAAACTTGCCACAAAGTATCCTTGGGTAAAGGGGATTCAAGTTTGTTCAAATGAAGGGCCATGCCTTCTTCCAAGGGGAGATAATTAAGAATTCGTGAAAAATTAATGGCATCATTAAAAAATCTTCTTCTCAAGAACCACTGTGCTCGAAAATATGAAACTTATGTGGAAGCATCCTCAGGTAGTGTAGATTCAATTTTGTTCAAATCATGACCCCCGGGGGTCGGGTGGGGCCACAATGGGCGATCAAAGTTTTACATAGGAATATATAGGAAAAATCTTTAAAAAATCTTCTTCTCAAGAACAGCAAAGCCATGATTGGTCATATTTATATGGTAGCATCCTCAGATAGTATAGATTCAAGTTTGTTCAAATCATGACCCCCGGGGGTCGGGTGGGGCCACAATGGGCGATCAAAGTTTTACATAGGAATATATAGGAAAAATCTTTAAAAATCTTCTTCTCAAGAACAGCAAAGCCATGATTGGTCATATTTATATGGTAGCATCCTCAGGTGATGTAGATTCAAGTTTGTTCAAATCATGACCCCCGGGGGTCGGGTGGGGCCACAATGGGCGATCAAAGTTTTACATAGGAATATATAGGAAAAATCTTTAAAAATCTTCTTCTCAAGAACAGCAAAGCCATGATTGGTCATATTTATATGGAAGCATCCTCAGATAGTGTAGATTCAAGTTTGTTCAAATCATGACCCCCGGGGGTCAGGTGGGGCCACAATGGGCAATCAAAGTTTTACATAGGAATATATAGGAAATCTTTAAAAATCTTCTTTTCAAGAACAGCAAAGCCATGATTGGTCATACTTACATGGAAGCATCCTCAGGTAGTGTAGATTCACGTTTGTTCAAATCATGACCCCCGGGGGTCGGGTGGGGCCACAATGGGCGATCAAAGTTTTACATAGGAATACATAGGTTAAATCTTTAAAAATCTTCTACTCAAGAACAGCAAAGCCATGATTGGTCATATTTAAATGGAAGCATCCTCAGATAATGTAGATTCAAATTTGTTCAATTTATGAAACCCCCCCTCCCCCCGATCCACTTTTTTATTCAAACTTTTCAACCTTTCAAGACTGAACTGATTTCTGCTTTTTCCTAGCCATAGTGCTCAGATGAGCGATGTGGCCCCTGGGCCTCTTGTGTGTTTTTATACTGCTTTTACAAAATAAAATTTATTCACTGTCGAATTCTTTGTTTTCACGTATATGGACGTATTGAGGCTAGACATAATATGGGAACCCCACAAAAAAGAAAAACCTTAATCTTTGTACACTAAATACGAACTTGATATGGCTATTGATAAGAAGGCAAAGCCTAAATCCGAAATAGCTAAGGATTTTGGGATTAACCAGAGTACATGCACTTATGATGATATACAAGCAGCATTCAGCAAGTAATTGAAGCACTTGAGTCGGGTGATTTTTCTCCAAAATATAAAAGAATGCAATTGGGGAATTATAAAGAGGTTGAAGATTTCTTTTCAAATGGTTTACAAATGCAAACAGCCTCAAACATAGCCATTTCCGGCAAAATTCTTGCTGAGAAATCTCAAGAATTCACAAAAAAGTTGGGTGTTGCTGACTTCAAAATTTCATCTGAATTTATACATCAATTAAAAAAAAAACGACACAGAATTATATATAAAGCAGTCTGTGGTGAAAGCAAAAGCGTTGATAGAAATTTAACCAACGACTGGATAAAAAATAAATTGCCCAATTTAATAGCAGAGTATGACCAAATTAATTTGTTCGGGTTTGCTCTCCTTTATTTTAGTTCAGGATTGAACTTTCAAATATGGCGACTTCATGTCAGTTGATTTTGCTTATATTGAATTACGGATATATTGAAATAATTTGCATGGTCCCCTGAATTTCAATATATCTGAAGTAGGCTGTATTAAGCAAAGAATTTTGGGATAAATCCAAGCACACACTAGCAATGATATGCATGTACAACCGGCACACTGTTTTTGAATCCTTCGAGTCCATGTAGGCATGGTGACTTTCCCCCTAATGGATAAAGAATAAGATCAGGAAATTATATGAGGCTGAAAGATGTCAGACTTTTTCAAATAAACCAACTATTTCTTTTCATTATTCAAGAGTTGTAAATTTAACCATGTAATGTTGCTTTGGGTTTGTCTATGTGTTTTAGATAAGGATCAGGATTTTAAAATCTCGTCAAAGGCCAATTTCACTTATTTTGAACTTTGGTTATATTGAAAATAATGTGTTGGTCCCTTTAATTTCAATATCTCCAAAGTAGACTGTAATTCATTATATCCGTTAAGTTTTCAGTATATATTAAAGTCACTGGATATGAAAATCACTTCACTATATAAGTGTCAATTCATTATTAGTGTGTTCATTATAAGTGTGTTTTACTGTAAAATATTTAGATTTTATTTTGTTTTGCACTGGAAAAAGGTGTAAGTAACAATAAAAAGTTTAAGAACAGTTATGAATTCTTTGAAAATTTACATTATTAAGAGTTCATTGACATGTATTTGTTTAATTTTAATGTGCTGTACTGTTGGCTAATTGTGAGTGATTTGTTGGGAATAAGTTTGTTTTGAATGTTTCATTTCTAGAAAGAGCAACTTAAAGAACAGTTTACAAGTCCTCAGAGAGGAGGTACTGAAAGCTAAAGCTATTGTGAGGGAAGCCAATGTTCTGTCACAAGAAATGGGCAAAAGAACCGAATTCCAGGTCACACTACAGATTCCAGCCAGTAGTCTTAGTCCAAATCGCAGGGTAAGTAAATGAGCTAGAAAAGTCAAATGAATTAAGAAAAATAAGCTTCTGAAAATAAGATGTTTGGAAATATAGCTTTTGATTAAAAGTTGAGAATGCATCTTATACATTTTTCCCAGAAGGAAACACATATTTCTAAGAAAAAGTTTTGATTGTTAACAAGAAAGTCATCTAACAGAAGTCATCAGAATAAGTCATTAACACCAAAGACTATCAAAGTTTTAGTGGTGCTACTAAAATTTGCCACTATAAGATTGTCCATCAGGCTAGTAGAAATTGAGATTACTAAATGAATATCAAAGACACTGACATTTTTCAAAGTCAATACAAATGCAGGGACTGAGGGTTCACCTTGGCAGGTGTTTTCTGGCATTTACTCATGAGGTGTACTGAATAGACTTTGTGCTTATTTAAAGCATCTGTGTGATAAGTAGAAATGAAAAGTTAAGGCATTTTTAAACTTCTGAAGAAGAGGCAAGGGAATGCTGAAAACACAGTCAAACCTCCCAATAAACTAATGAGTCAACTCTTAATTAGAAGTATGTTGACATCATTAGATTTAAAGTAAAATGAGTTTTATTTTTTTTACTAGATAAGCAGAAGTTGTAAATAACAATATTGCATGCAGATTTTTTTTTTCAGTTGAATCAAAATCAGTGATTTGCTTTTAGTTCAGAATATTTTATGGTATCTTTCATTAATTTTGTATTTCACTAATTAAAAATCATTACTCTGGGCCAGTGATTTTCTAAGAAGACTTTTGGTGCTTTATAAGGGCACCAGCCCATCAAGGTAGCAGTTTGAAAAAACTTACTGTGATAAATTTACTAGCATAAAATTATGGAATTGCCATAAAATATGCCCATTTTTGATTTTTTACAGAAAGGGAATGGTTTTGTCAGTGAGCCAGCCATTTTAGTGAAGAGAAAGAACCGGCCTAATCAAATCTGGTTGATGGAGAAATTAGAGAATAAGATTATAGACATGAGAGAGATGTACGAGGAGAGGAAGTCCTCGGGCCAGCCCCTGATGGTAGAGGACACTGATACTTGGGTTTGTTGTTGTTGCATGGCTTCAGCTTACCTTTGACCTCCCTGTAAATGTGTCAACAGTTTTTCTTTTTTTGTTCTGAAATTAAAGTGGTGGATGGTTATTTGTGAAATAGAAGCTTATGGGCTGGTAACTCCATTTGGAGTTTTTTCAATACTATTTTGCCTAGATTTCTCTAAAACTTGGTACACATCTGTGTAGTGCCCATGACCTTTCTAGCTGATGGCTAAGCTTGACCTTTTTTTTTTGGCATCACCAGTGATCCCTACCTCATCTATTGCTCTTTTATTTTTGAAGCTTGGTCGGGAATCCATGTCATGCTCAATGAAATATTTATTATGAAAACATTTCAAAGAAACAAACTCATTGCTGCCCAGACCCTTTTAGTGTAGTCTTCTGTTAAAGATTTGGTACTGATTAGAGGGGACTGATAGCATAAGATGGCCGCATCCCTTGAAGGTGTGATTTTTTTTGGAACTTCAAAATATATCTGCGCAGGGTTTATAAAGTAAATACTTGTAATACATGAATAGATAAAATACCATTTTTTTTTCTTCTAATGTAGAAAAGTTCAATTCCTAGGAGTACACTTTATACTTAAATTTGGTTTTTTTTTTAATCAGTTTTGCAAATTTTTAAAACAAGTTGCTTAGACAACAGTTGTTTTACGGAGGTGGTGAACTGTAAAGCTATTTTAAATGAACATGCATTAATTACATGTAACAAGAGTTTTGATTGACCATCTTATTTTGGCATTATAAGCAGTTATCTTGGCAATGCTAATAATAAATATGGCTAATAATTTAATAAAATCACAAATATTTACATTGGTACATAGAAAATAGAATTATTCCTGAAACCATTAAAAAATGTGTAATAAAATTATCAGTTGTAGGATATTGATTAATTTGCTAATCCGTAAAACAACCTTTTATACAGTGTTTGTGTGTGAAAAAATATGTACACTTGAACTTCACTGCTTTGGCAGGGGGGCTATCTGTGGCAAACTGATTTACATTGTTTTGTTTTGTTTTGTTTTTTTTTGTTTTGTATTTAGCTCACCTCAACGAAGTTGGGGGAGCTTATGAAATACCCTCGGCATCGGCATCCCAGGTTAAGGTTTTTAGAGCAGTTTTCTTTTCAAGTACTTCTATGGCCTATATTAGTCAGAGATGCATGGAGGATGCTTCTAGTGTGTTTCATTGTACCAGTCAAAGTTTCAGGTGCTGCAATTTCAGCTAAAGAATGACCAGGTGAATGTTTTTGGAGGAGGTTAAAGTTTTTGGAGCAGGTCTCATTTCCAAGTAACTATAAGTCCTATGTTGAACAAACTTGCATGTATGATACATCTAAGGATTCACACAACTGGACTTGCTTCGGATGCTGGATCTGACCTACATTTTCCGGATGAGTAACCAGGTTAAAGTTTTTGGAGCAGATCTCATTTCCAAGTAACTATAAGCCCTATATTGACCAAACTTGCATGGATGATACATCTAAGGATGCACACTACTGGACTTGCTTCAGATGCTGGATCTGACCTATATTTTCAGGATGAGTGACCAGGTTAAGGTTTTTGGAGCAGATCTCATTTCCAAGTAATATAAGCCCTATATTGACCAAACTTGCATGGATGATACATCTAAGGATGCACACTACTGGACTTGCTTTGGATGCTGAATCTGACCTATATTTTCCAGATGAGTGACCAGTTTAAGTTTTTGGAGCAGATGTCATTTCCAAGTAACTATAAACCCTATATTGACCAAACTTGCATGGATGATACATCTAAGGATTCTCACTACTGGACTTGCTTCAGATGCTGGATCTGACCTATATTTTCCGGATGAATAACCAGGTTAAAGTTTTTGGAGCAGATCTCATTTCCAAGTAACTATAAGGCCTATCTGAACCAAACTTGCATGGATGATGCATCAAGGGATGAACAATCTCAAACTTGCTTTGGATGCTGGATTTTACTTACATTTTCTGGATGAGTGACTAGTTTTAGTTTTCAGGTAAGTCTATTCCCAAGTAACTGCAAGCCCTATCAGACCAAAATTGCATAAATGTTGCATCTAGGGATGCACACTCCTAGATTATTAGTTTGGTGTGGGACTTTGCCTTACTTAAAGACAACATTCATTGAGGTGAGCTCTGTAATCTCTGATTACCTATGTTTTGTTTTGTTTTTTTTTTTTGGGGGGGGGGGGGGGGGGGTGTTGTTTGTTTTTTCTTTTTTTAATATATTTGATCCATAAATAATTTCTGTGCCAAAAATTATTTATGAAACGTAGAAGCTTCATTGAAAACTAACTTGAAGGTTTTAGTTTCTTGATAGGAAAAGTTAATCACAGTAAAACACAGATATAGAGAAGTACCAGGGAGGAACAATTTTGATTTGTTATAAACGCTATTCATTATATCTGTTAAGTTGATAATGATATGTTTCAATGAAAATCACTTAACTGTAAGTATGAATTCATTATGAGCATGTTTGCGTGTTCGTGTTTTACTGTAACTTGAACATGTTCAATTCTCTGTTTACAATATTTTTATTTAAAGCAAAAAAGGATGAACTGCAATTTTCAAGAAAAATATGGGGAAAACATCAAAAAATATTATAGTTTCCATTTCACTTAAGAATTTCTTTTAGTACAGAATAATATTTGGTATAAGTTTTCCATTTCAATGAAGTATTTCTTTTAGATCAAAATAATATTTGGTATTAGTTTTTTATTTCAATTAAGTATTTTTTTTAAAAATATTTGGTATTAGTTTTCATTCTTTCTATTTAGGATGATGGTCCCATGGTGAAGGGTGACCCATTTTATGAGTCCCAGGAGAATCATAATTTGATTGGTGTAGCCAATATCTTCCTGGAATGTCTGTTCCATGATGTTTCTTTAGATTATCATGTGCCAATCATTAGCCAACAAGGGGAGGTAATGCAATCAAAATGTTCTGAATTTCATGGTCACCATTTAAAAGATAGAATTCAGATCATAGAATTGCTGAATCTTTGTTATATAATTTAATTTACAGATTGCTGGAAAGCTGCACATCCAGATCTCTAAGCTAGGTGGCTCTTGTCTTGAACGTTATGGTGATACAACGAGTGAGGATAATGAAGTAGCTGATCCTGCTATGGCAGCAGGGGGACCTATGATTGTCAGGGTATGTCTAGATAGGTAATTAGTATGATGTAATGATGTAGCCGACCCTGCTATGGCAGCAGGGGGGCCTACGATTGTCAGGGTATGTCTAGATAGGTAATTAGTATGATGTAATGCTGTAGCCGACCCTGCTATGGCAGCAGGGGGGCCTATGATTGTCAGGTTATGTCTAGATAGGTAATTAGTATGATGTAAAGAAGTAGCCGACCCTGCTATGGCAGCAGGGGAGCCTATGATTGTCAGGGTATGTCTAGATAGGTAATTAGTATGAGGTAATAAAGTAGCTGACCCTGCTATGGCAGCAGGGGGGCCTACGATTGTCAGGGTATGTCTAGATAGGTAATTAGTATGATGTAATGCTGTAGCCGACCCTGCTATGGCAGCAGGGGAGCCTATGATTGTCAGGTTATGTCTAGATAGGTAATTAGTATGATGTAAAGAAGTAGCCGACCCTGCTTTGGCAGCAGGGGGGCCTATGATTGTCAGGGTATGTCTAGATAGGTAATTAGTATGATGTAATGAAGTAGCTGACCCTGCTATGGCAGCAGGGGGGCCTACGATTGTCAGGGTATGTCTAGATAGGTAATTAGAATGATGTAATGAAGTAGCCGACCCTGCTATGGCAGCAGGGGGGCCTATGATTGTCAGGGTACATTCTAGATAGGTAATTAGTGTGATGTAATGAAGTAGATGACACTGCTATATCATCAGCGGGGGGGGGGGGGGGGGGGGGCATGATTGTCAGGGTATGTCTAGATAGGCAATTACCGGTAGTATGATGTAATGCTGTAGCCGACCCTGCTATGGCAGCAGGGGGTCTATGATTGTCAGGGTATATCTAGATAGGTAATTAGTATGATGTAATGAAGTAGCTGTCATTGTTGTAGGTCAGCCAAGTCACTTTGGGGGTAAACTTTTGAACATTTCCAGCTTCTTCTCTTAAAGAGGTGAACCAATTTCAACCAGTTTTGGTGTACAGCAGCTATATAATCATGAAACTTTATCACACATCCGCAGTTCAATACCTGACATATTCCAAAACATTAGTGGGTACTGCTTATAATATAAGAGGAGTTCGAGGAAGAAGTTTTTGTAGAATAAAACATCCTTTTTTGCCCCTCAATTGAATCCCAGGGTGAAAATTAAATGATTGCACATCTACAGGACACTATATACATGTATCTATCATATTCCAAAAGGTGAATAGGCTACTTCTGAAATGTAAGAGGATTTTGAAGGAGATCTTGTAGAAGGTCCAAGTTTTGGACTAAGTTCCTATACAATAAAATTTGGATATAATGAAGTCCTTGGGACCTGTGAATTAACTTTGCAATATCCGTTATTTGTTATATCCCTATAATGAATCTGTTAAAAAAAATTAGCCAATTCGCAATTTTACGTTTTCCTTCAAGTGTGACTCCTAAATATGGTCAGGGAAGTGTTAAATACAAAACTTAATTATACTGAGGTACAAAAGTTTTCAGATGAATTGTCATAAAATTCATGTCACATGGGTCCTGAGTTCCAATCTCTCCTGATAAATGCAGGATACTCCAATGCTGCCAGGGTTATATGCCTTCTTTTTTTTTTCTTTTTTTTTTTTTAATTTTTATTGTCATTGATCTAAATCAAATGGATTTGAATTTGACAATTACAATGTACATGTTACTGATTTTTGAAATTTTTTATGTATGCAGTGCTGATAAAATATATAAATGCCACATATGTGGGTGATTGTTGGTAAATTTATGATTAGAAATCATCCCAAAATCAGTGATGAGTTCAACTTCACAGAATTGACCATTTATAAACACATTTGAACTTTGATATCTCCAATACCAAGGATATGTCCAAGATGTGGCAGTCCCAACCACTTTTTCTTTGTTTTTTAACCTTGTTATCTTGAATCCTTGGATATCTCAAAATAATGAGGTTTGACTGCACAGTAACCATTATCCATGGTATTCAAGATATCGAAAGTCAAGATAATGAAGTTGAATCGTATTCATCAATCCACATCAATGTTTGTGACTTTGAAATTTAATTTCACTAATTTACTTTTCAGCTGAACATTCTATCAGCTAAGGGCCTGCCTTCATCCATGTCTAACTTTGTTTTCTGTCAATACACTTTCTGGGGCCAGGAGGAGTCAGTGGTTGTCCCTCCTCAGATTAACCCTGACATGATGGAACGCCAGAATTCCACAGGGGACACGGTCTCGGTCAAATTCCAGCACCGAAAGGTAGGGGTAATGTGGAAGATCATTCCAGTGATTATTGGGAAATATCTCAAAACATCTTGAATAACTTTGTATAGTTTCTTATACTGTTGTAGTTTTGTGTCGTATCTAAAGGTTGACATTTACACATTTTATTCTTTTTCATTTTTTTTTTAGGATTTCAAAATCAACATAACAGAAGAGTTTGTGGAGAACTGTCAGGACGGAGCATTGTCAGTAGAAGTTTGGGGTCATAGGGTCACATCCACTGGCAATACAGAGACAGACATAGCTAAAACAGTCAAAGCCAAAACTCGTTCTCTCACTGAAAGGTACTGGAAGTGTGGATGAAAGAATTATTTAGAATAAAGATTTAATGGAAAGAATTCATATAAACTTGTTTCTAATATTTTATTCTCCTCGATCAGTTATAAGAGGGACTTTAGTTACCATTGAGTATGATTAGCTCCCCTGAGCTGTACAATGAAGTGAGCTTTTTGATCACTTGATGTACTGCATCTGTCTGTCTGTCTGTCTCTCTCAATAAACTTTACATATTTTTGACATCTCTATATCCACTGGGCAAATTTCAACCAACTTGCCAAAAAACATTTTTGGAGAAAGGGAATTCAAAGGGTCCCACCTCTTTCAAGGGGAGATAAATGATGAATAGTAAAAATTTGATGGCAACTTTTAAAAAAAAAATTAAAATCTCAAAAACCAGTGGGTCAGAAAAGACAAAACCTGTGTGAAAGCTTCCCTTATAATGATATAGATTTTAAAATGTGCTAATTGAGGCCCTTGAGGCAATAGGGGATCAAAGTTTTACATGGGAATATTTAAGGGGGCCGGGGAGGGGGGGGGGGATCTTCATCTCAAGAACAGCAGGGCTATGATTAGTTATATATGTGCAGGCATCCTCAAGTGGCACTCAGATGTTCAAATCATGTCCCTGGGGGGCCACAATTGGGGATCAAAGTGATTAGTCATAAAGTCACATATATAATTTAAGCATCACCTAAGGATTTTACCTGGTAGACTTCAATGTGTTGCTTTGTTTAGCAGATTGGGTTAGCTTTGTTTAGCAGATTAACTGATAAGAACAATTAGAATTTTACGAAAAACAAGTCTATTATTGAATTTCAAAAAAGTTATTTAATTATTTTAGTGGACAGCCTTAAATTGGCATTTAGCAAAAAAAAAAATAGTGTGTCTAATAGTTGGTTTAGTTGGTTTTACAGTGAATTATATTACTTGTGCAGCATTCCGATGTTGTGTTGATTCAATTTTTTTTTTGTCCACCAAAGTATGCTGAAATACTGTCAACTTGACATGAAACAATAAACGACCAATCTATTAATTTTTCTCACATGATAAATCCTGGTGTCAGGTTGGGAATATACAGGGAAAAAAATATTCTTGATCAGAAAAGGAGAGCCTTCTTTGGCATATTGACATTTAAAGTTGTAGCACCCCCATGTTGTTTGGATATAAGTGCGGGTAGGTCATGATCCCTTAGGGCTAGGGCGGGGCTGCAGTATGGGGTCAAAATTTTTCATAAATGGAGATAGTGAAGGAAAAAAATCATCTGATGAACAGCAGTGCTAATGTTACTCAGGTGAGCATTGTGGCCCATGGGTTTCTTGTTTTCAGATGGAATGAGGTGATGAGGAAACTGGAATTGTGGATAGAAATTGAAGAGCTAAATTATCAGGGGGAGTGGTCTTCTGTCGAGGTCCAATCAAAACCTGGCGTTCTCTCAGCAGGGGTATTTCAGCTACAACAGGTCAGTCTTCTAACTGTAGTTCATTAGACAACACACGTTACTGAATGACAGGATATTTTTTTTGAGTGAATTTGCTTGGATGTTATTCCTTTGTCAAATTGAATATGTGGCTCTAAATTTGCTCTTGAGTACATCTGGGAGGACAAATAAAGAATTCTGTAGACACGTTTTTTAGATTTCTTTATGAGTATTTGAAGTTTTGACTCTAAATAGGACAAAAAAATGTTTGAATAGATAATTAAGTCAAAAATAAATATTTTATTAATGTTTGAAATGTGTGTCACGTAACACATGACAGACATATAACGTAGCATGACAGACCTATGATAAAACGTGCCTTGATTAAATTACATTTCTGATGCTTAGCAATACAAATAATCTGTAAAAAATAAAATTCAACAATTCCTTAAACAAAGCAAAAAAAAATTTCACTCTTATGTAGAAGAAAAAAAGATTTTAAGCTACTTTTGATGCACAAACTGATGATCATAACACTGACAGACTCCTCTACTTAGCCAGACAAATCAACCATAAACTTTCATTATTTTATCAAAAAGATAATGTTGCCGTAAGAAATGAACATTAATCAAATTGTGATTTCTTATAGACTTTAAATTTGAATTTTTTAAAAATAAATCTCTGCTTGTCATACAAAATTTCCACCATGTCTGTCATATTACGATATTTCTTGAGCAATACCTGTTTGAAACGAGCCAATAAAATTTATCATTCAAAGATTTTCTTTCATTCTTGGAAATTATAATACACAAGATATCATTATTTATGAAAATACTAATGAAATTTTAAAAAATAAATCATTTCATATAGATCAAACCTATATCGTAACATGTATGGATGCACGTAACAATGACAGACTCGTTTTAAAAACTGCAAGAAAACAACTACAAAATTGTATTGTTTAAGTTATAAAGACAAATTCTGCCTTATGAAACATTAATATTCTTAAATAAAAATACTTTTTTGTTTAATTCACTGAACGTATAAATCTGAATGCACCCGTTTGAATCACGTAACATGAACAGACATTTGTTTGTCCGTCACCGTTACGATAGTATTCAGGCAATGTCTTTCAATCGGTCGTTATGTAAGAAATGTCAAATTTTAAGTGTTTATGTAGTGATGAAGAGCGTGCAAGTTCATAATTTAAAAAAAGAATCCAAAATACACCTACTAGTTGACAATATTTGATGATATGTGTTTAAGATCTAGGATAAAAACAACTTATATTTTTATGAATGTAACATACATATATGTGATGAATGTACTTTGTGTAACGTAACACTTGACAGACAAACGTTCGTGCCTTCTTGGGCTCTCTCCGTAGCTCTTATCGAAATGTAAACATATTTGCATAGAACGCTGGAGAAAATTTAAATATTCATAACCTTTACGTGAAATGTATAAGAAGAAGCATCTCCGAGCTCCATTCTTAAAATAGAACGTAATGCCCACTTGCCATGACAGACACAGGAAGCATCCCACAGATTTGTTAATTTCTAAGCACACATGCTTTTCTGTTGAAATCTGCGATCACTTAATTGATAAATACGTAAATTTTCTATCAGTAGACAAGAAAAATAAATAGTTTGCATAAACAATGGCCCATTTTATAACAATGTACCCGGTGTATTGAGACTGACAGATGTTACGTTCAAAATATGAGAAGAAATAAATTCCAATTTTTCTTTTATTTGAGACATAATGTGCATTAAAATACTTTTGTATGTTAATTTTATTCTTCCTAAACAGTAGTGAATGAAGATATTCTGTGTACAATGTATTATTGCTGTACATCTGTCTTTTATTTTGACATGGTTGAAAATGTCCCCCTAAACATGCGTAATTCTAGTGGAATTATCAAATTCATTTCAAGAAAAAAAAGTAAGTTGATGAAAAAATCTGCTTATTTTATCTTTTTATATATTTGCAATATACTTTTCAATATAAAACATTTTTTATTTCAATATATTAAATAATTTATTTTATATTCCTCTTGTTAAAATCATAGGTCAAGATGTACTCAAAAGCGAATTTCGAGCCATATGCTCTTTTGCTAGAGTCTAGAGCTAAAATAGGTTTTCTGTGATTATTGTTGTCTTAATCTGAGATAAATGACCACACTAATATTCATATCCAATAACTAATATTCATATCCAATAACTAATATTCATATCCAATAACTAATATTCATATCCAATAACTAATATTCATATCCAATAACTAATATTCATATCCAATATGATAAACCAAGCATTACAAGATTAAATGACAATGAAACATTTGCAGGTTTGGATATAAATTCATGCTTGACAGTGACTTGCATGTGAAATTTGAATTCAAATGTAGTTACTGTTTTTAGGGTCACTCCAGAAGAGTGAAGGTCGGAGTGAGGACAGTAACAGAATCGGGAACCCTTCCTTTGATACCAGAGACCATAACTTCTATATCTGTAGGAGGAATTACCAATCGGAGCAAGCTACAGAAAAGTCTGGACAGTTACCAGGAGGATGATCTGACCATACTCCGAGACAAGTGGTCAGAGGCACTGGCCAAGCGAACAAAGTACTTAAATGAACAAATACAGAGTCTCATCAACAAACAAGGTAATGAACATGTTGATAGAAATTCCTCTCTGATTTAATGTCCTTTGTTAAAATATCAGTTCATATATGTGATGAATGTAAACTAGTAAACATATAGTTTACAGCTTCAGGGTTGTTTCTAACAATTGAAATATCAGGGGACATTAAAAAAGTAGAAGGGGTTCAGGGTTTCCTCTCCTAACAGGTGGTTGAGAGGGAATACCAGAGTAACCAGGGATTAATGTCATTAAAGGCAGGGAAATTCTCCGGTCTCCGGGTCTTAGGAATAACCCTGCAGCTTACCTGTGAAGTCAGATCATGTTTCTCTACTGCATGGGTGAATTTGAATTTGGTTGCATTATTGCTTGTATATAAGATTCATCATAAACATGAACAGTTCCTAGAAATTATTTGTTGTTCATGGTTGGTGCACCATTAAGAACATAATCTTCACCTAATTTATCTAGTATATGAATTTCTTTCTTTCACTCTCAACGTGCAATATTTTAAGCATAAGGATTTTACCTGGTAGACTTCAGTGTGTTGCTGCTTGATCAAATAAAAAACAATAGGGTTATAGCTTTGTTTATCAGATTAACCAATCAGAAGAATATTAGAATATTACAAAAACAAGTGAAAACTTACAGAAAAGTTAGTTAATTATTTTGGAAGTCAAGGACTTCCTATATACATGTATGTAATGTACATAAGGTTTGGTAGTTGCAGGATAGCATCTGAGTGACTCAGGTGACCTATTGCTGTCACATGTTATCAGTCATCTGTTGTCAGTTGCCTATTAACCAGGGCTTGGCAATAATACCAATATTCCGGTATATTGACAAATTAAAAATGTTGTATTGCAATATGTTTTTGTAATAACGATATACTGGCAAAATGCTTGGACTCAGGAATTCTAACATAAAATATAAAGAAGTATAAAGAAAAAAAAAATAATAATAATAAAAAAAAATAATAATAAACAGGGTTCGACACTAACGTTAGTCCGTTAGTCTCAGACTAATACATTTTCATTCGGACTAATAAAATATGTGGCTAATTAGTCCGAACGGACCAATAAATATTTCTGAAAAACAATATGAATAAATTACCGATGTCCGATTCTCGACAACTTTTACTTGAAAACCCCGCGTGTATTTTTAGATTTCTAGCTTTTGGCAGGTAATTACGCAATGCCGGGTCAATTCAGCGCTTAATTTTTCGACTGATCGATATGAAGTATAAGGTTTTAGCGATCATGATTTAATATGACACTTTTAAGAAAGATGTTGGATGTTTTGGATGTAATGTAAAGAAAAAAAACGAGATCAGGAATATGATCGTACTTGCTGATTGCGAGATTTCAATGAATCGGTGGAATAATATATTTCACGTAAATACTTTGTTTATTTCAAAAAATAATACGTATATTAATTGTCATGTTAAATTAATGTTAAAAAACATTGATGTTTCTTTTTGTTTTTGACGGACTAATAAAATCGCGTGCGGACTAGTAAAAGTAATGAAGCACTAGTCCGGCTGGACTAAAGCCTTAAAAAGTTAGTGTCGAACCCTGTAATAAAGAAAAGTTGTCAGAAAAGTTTGCGATCATGCCAAACAGTAACACAAAAGCAGTTGCATAACTTTAATTCAATCAACAAGATGTCTTTTATTGGTTTTTAATCATAGTTATGTACATATAAAAGGAAGTTAATATTATAAGGAAATTCCATTTTAATTTTTGTTGAAAATATTGCAATACATATCGCAAAACAGTAAAAAAATATCGCAATACAAAATTTCTAGCCAATACCCATGCAGCCCTACTATTAACTTTGGAATATTTGCAACGTCTCCTCTGAAACTATAGGGCCATGCCATATCAAAATTGTGTGGAGCTTTGGGTAAAGGGATACATGTATTTTAGAAGAATGAATTTAAATGATTAATTGTAAAATTGAAACAGCTATCGAACTGAGAAATGGAACAATTTTGGTATATATCAGAAAAAATGTCAATTTCATCATGATTATTATGTAGACCTTAATAAGAAAATAGACCCTTGAGGCTAGTTTAAGACCTTCAAAATGTAGTTTTAAATAGCATTTCTGTGTTTTTCTGGGGCATTTTAGTTATTCATGTTTCCCCTTGTATTCAGTAGGCTCAGGACTGTTTTGTGAACTCCTTGTCAGAATTGGCTTCTGGGTTAAACTGGTAAGATCTGTTGCCAAAATTGACATTGTTGTCATCTAATTCATCAAAACTTGATGACCAAGCTAGTATTGTCATTGCTCTCAGAGTAAATCTCATTGTCATCTATGCTGACCCATATATTTGGGTTCATGTAGTGGCATCATGCCTATGGATCCTCTTTTTCATTTGATTTGATTTTCAGAACAGGTAAAAAATAGGTGCTTTTAAAGTGTGATAACTCAATATGTTAGTCTTCATAAATTTTGCTGCATTTTCCCTATAGTTTTATTTCATTGTGATCTTCAACAAATTAAAAACCATTTAACCATTGTAGGTACCCTTTAATATGTATGATAATAGCGGTGAACATTGAGACAAATTGTATAACACTGTATGCATGGATCAGTCTGTACAATATTGCAATGTGTAGTCTAGCTTCAGTCTATCTGGAGTTTGACTGTATGGTCTTGAGTAAATCAATGTTATTAGGTCACCTGAGTTTACTCAGGTGACCTATTGCTATCTGTTTTCGTCCGTTGACATCCGTCCGCATCCGTCGTGCTGTGTTAACATTTAAACATTTTCAGCTTCTTCTCTGAAACAGTTGAACCAATTTCAACCAATTTTGGCATATAGCATCTATGGGTGAAGAAGGGGAGTAAAATTTGTGAAATTCATGGTACCTGTCCCCCTGGGGCAAGAGGGGTGGGGCTAAAACCATCAAAATAAATGCAATCTTTAAAAATCTTCTTTACTCCTGGACATCAAGCAGCCAAACTGTTGGCATGATTGTAATAAGCAATGAGCCCTCTACAAAAATTGTGAAATTTATGGCCCTAGGGTCAGGGGTTCTGGTGCTAGGGTGGGGCTCTGTTGAATATATTGTGAAAATGCATTATTTCTTGAAAAATCATCTCCTCTGTTTCTGGTTATTAAGCAAACAAACTAAATGCCTTGTTATGATAAGCAAGACTGCCTCTTCCAAAATTGTGAATTTCATGGCCCCTCGGTCAGGGGTTCTGATGTTAAAGCGGGGCTCTACTGATTATATAATGAAAATGCATTAATTCTTTGAAAATCTTCTCCTCTGCTCCTGGGTATCAAACCAATGAATTATGTACATAGTTATGATGAGGAAGAGTGCCTCTTCCAAAATTGTGAATTTCATGGCCCCTAGCTGGGTCAGGGGTTCTGGTGTTAGGGTGGGGTTTTATTGATTATATAGTGAAAATGCATTAATTCTTTGAAAATCTTCTCCTTTGCTCCTGGGAATTATGTCAATGATATAAGTATATAGTTATGGTGAGCAAAGGTGCTTCTTCCAGAATTGTGAATTTCAAGGCCAATGGGTCAGGGGTACTGGTTGTTGTTGGGGGGGGGGGGGGGAGGGGGGCTCTAATGATTATACACATGTATACTGAAAATGAATTGATGCTTTGAAATGTGCTCTTTGGTATTAATCAAACTTTTATGATGGACAAGGGTCCCTTTTCCAAAATTGTGAAATGTGTGGCCCCAGGGTCATGGGTTCCTGTGGGGTGGGGCACCACTGATTATATAGTGGAAATGCATTTTTTCTTGGTTCTTCTGCTCTGACTATGGGAATTAAGTAATCAAACTAAGCATGCTCAGTGTAGTTATGATGAGCAATGATGCCTCTTTCAAAATGGGAATTCCATGGCCTCTGATTTAAAAAACGAACCAAATTCAATTGTTGGAAAGTTGTTACATGATACTCAGGTGACCTATAAGGCCTGTGGGCCTCTTGTTTGAAAGTCAGATGATTCTGGAAATTAAAAGTCACCTAAGTGAGTATGAAAAATGTTGGTGTTGAACCTAATTACAAGGATTTAAAGGTGACCCAAAAATCCTATTACAGACAAAACAGAGGCTGACTCTGATCGTGAGCGGGCTCTCTTGGACCAGTGGGTGTGTCTGACAGAGGAAAGAAATGCTGTCATGGTCCCTGCCCCAGGGAGTGGTATTCCTGGGGCACCTGCTGAGGGAGAGACAGCCCCCAACATGGAGAGGCATACACCTGTCCTGTTTCTCGATCTTAATGGTATATAGTTTACATTTGAATTTCTATCCAATCTACAAAAGATAACGTGAAGTTTGTGATATGCATGTGAAATAATGCCATTCTTGTATGCTCCAGTTAAACATGTTTAGCACATCATTGTATTTGATTGCAATTATTTGAAGTAACAGTAATATATTCTTTTAAATCCATTTTCTAACAATGACAATAATCAATATTTAAAATCTTTCATTTCACATCTCATTAAATTTTTCTTTTTTGCACACAACTTTTGATTTTTGTGCACATCTCTCAATATTTTCCTGTATACTGGCTTCTGTAAGTTACTTAACTGACAGTGACTTGAAGTTTGAATTTTACGCATGTTTTAACTTAAGCTGATGACATGAGCACATCCCGTGCCAGAGAGGGTTATCTTGCTGCTGGGGTAAATTCTATCCTACCTAAAGAGCATGCAGGGTCCTTTGTCAACCTTCCCATTACAAAAGCTGAAATGGACAGTGGTTATGTATGTATCAAATGAAGCATATGACCTAAATATGTAGTTTAATGTTCAAATTCACATTCGTATCGAGAGTATGTCAGAGTGTAAGTTCACATGGTTAAGTTAAATGAACTAAGTAAGAAAAGGCTTAAAGGACCACAACCCTCACCCGAGTCCTTTTCTCTACCTCACAGGGATAGACATTAACTTTTAAGATCTGCTTGCCCAGAGGGCAAGTGAATTCTAGCTTTTACTTGGTTGCCCGAACTTCAGAAAGAATAGATAAATTTATTACTGCAAATATTCAGAAGAGGAAAAATTTTATTATCGCAAATCTCGCTTGAAAGTATACACTACGACTGAAATAGCATTGTGTTCAGTGACGACACAGTTGGATTTGACAGTTAAACAATTGAATTAGTGCATTACATTCTAAGAGTCATGCATTTTAATTGACCAATTTGGGGCCCGCCCATTTTTGCACGTGGTTGTTATAAAAATAGGCATGATCATTTTTACAGTACTTAGTATATCGCAATGGAGGGACTAGAGCAGTATTTACGCGAAATTGACGACGGTCTTGTATTCTACAAAGAAGAATTTATGAAATTAGCTGTAAAAAGCGATGCCACCCTCAAGTATCTAAGATCTTACGAAGTGGAGGGAATGAACATCCCCCGGGTATACAGAAGAATGTTGGTAGAACGCATTATGAATCTCCAGATGCCCAGCACTAAAGCCGAAATGAAAGAACAGTGCTCGGAGGACTTCAGTGCACAACCCAAAGCACCAAAAAGGTTGCGTTTTGGAAACCCTGATCCATGTACCCAGACCAGCGTTAGGCCTACTTCAGAAAAACCTGTCCAGTCGCCAGCTGCCGCGCCTTGCACTCCGGAAAATTTCCTTGAAAAGGAAGTGGAGAGATTAAAAGAAGAAAAGGATACCTTGTCCGTTTTACTCGTTCACAAAAAAGATGAACTGAATGATTTAAAACGTAAACCAACTGCACTGTCGGCAATCAGCATCCCGGGAAATCCAATCACCAAATCATCGTGCGACAACTGTCATCGGAAGGGGCAGTGATCCATAATGAATCGGGGAAACAAGTCCTGTCCCTTCTTGGCCTGTGAGGGGTATCATATATGCGGTCAGGAAGGCAAACACCCTGATCACAAACAGTCGGTGACAGAGGCAGGTTTACTCATGAATACACTTACACCTTGTCATATATACATGTGTATATACAGCATACCTTTTCAAATATGTATACATATGAACTACATGTATTTTACTTATTTACATATATATACGTTTATATGTTTAAAACAAAAGCTGTGTTGTTCTGAAAACTTATTAAAACACCTGTAAAGTTATTGTTGAATAGGAGTACCTGGTACGTTGAGGTCATGTAGTTCAAAAAGGTGGGGGTAAAATTTATTGTAAATGATCATAGGCATTCCCCATCTTGATATTGATTATGGAGGGAAAAGTTGTACTTAAGTGTAGATTAGATATATTCATTTTTACCATTTAAGACGGGTAGTGCTTACGAAAGCAACCAGATCCTGACACATTTTGTAAGTCACTGCACAGTGGAAAAGACAACTCTCGATTTCTGTAAATAACTGATATCTCCCATTATACCCAAATACACTATAGCATTAAGTATTTATATTCTGTGAAATCTAAGACTAGTGATTTGTATTTGTACAATTGTTTTCAAAATTACATTTCTATAATTGAAAATATGCTGAAAACTTTGCTGGGTATGCTTAAAGGTAACATGGCAATAGGAATTTTATATTTACATGTATTTTTATTTTAGGTAACAAAGGAAATAAATGATGTAGAGAGGAGAATCAAGAACATAAATGATGAACTTAACAGCATAAAAATGTTTCAGAAGCACAATAACACTAATTTTATATCTGTTATGCATCCAATCTTGAAAGCTTTATTTTCTCTGAAATATGAAGGTAAAGATGGAGCTCAAAATTTACAAAGGGATTTAAGATGTATGAAAATTGCGACAAATGGACAAATACCCCAAGACCAGACTCTTGAACACATTAATAATCTTATTGTGAAGGGAAAATCCAGGGTATCGAGTATGATAGCTTACATCGACACAACACCAAAAAAGATGCCTGATCAAAAGCAAACCTCCCCCAATTATGCAAGCCCACCAGCTTCATTAACCCAACAACAGCCGTTACACTTTCAATTAGGACAGTGCAACCCATATTTCCTCATAGCATCACCTACTACTCCTTATCAGTATGTCATGTACCCAAATCACTGGAATTCAATGTATGATGTATATGGAAATAGCTATATGTATCCAACAAATCCTGTCACATCTTCCACAGGCCCTGAATTTACTGCAAGTCCACCATTACCTTTGGATCCACCACCTGAAAACCCACCATTGCCAAAGGACATGTGAATCGAGAGCATGCAGCTACTTGTTCTTATTTACTGTTTGAAACAATTGTTTTTATATTACTTTCATGTCTGAGGTTGGTAAGAAACAACACAAGGATTATCTTGTATATATCATTGTACCTTTTGGTAAAATGATGATAGGTTTACAACATATTTTATTTTTGAAGAGTGTGATTCTGATAAATCATGAATACATATTTCATTTGTGAAGGAATTCTTAAAAATTTCAAATTTCACCTTTTTATGGAATCAACAAGTTTACACTAATAAACTTTGAAACATTCATTTTTTTAAAAAAAATATTTTAAGGTCATATACATTTAGTTTAAGTTCATTTGCAGCAAAGAAATCAAAATATTTGAAAAATGGGAAAAAACATTTTTAAAAATTTATCAAGATATTGGTTACAGTACAAGCCTGCTTATCTAATGGTTTATGCATGCAGATTTTCATCAGCTGTTCGAGTACCTTTTTCAAATTGAGTAGGCATTACTTTTGATTAGGACAAAGATTGATCTATTGAATATTTTTATCCAAGTTTTAATCAGAAAGTCCCCTTATAAAGTTAACAATATTTTGGAAAAGATTTCAATTGAATTCAGCATGAAGGAAATTATAATGGACACTGATAAATAATTTGAAATGATTCCTATTTTGTTGTCAATTTGAAAGATTTGAACTACTGCACCAAAAAAAAAAAGTAAACCAGTTAAGGCTAATACCCCTGAATAAGACAATGAGTTGATAACATAGTGGGGGGGGGGGGGGGGGTCAATGGGATTTTTTTAACTTGTTGATTAAAAACTTCAAAAACCAGTGAAGTTACCATATATTCTGAATGCTTCTAGTGATTTGTACTTCCAGATGATTATGCCCCCTCTTTGACATGGTAGTAGCTAAGGTCATCTTTAAAAAAATGTTTGTTTGCCCTTTCCCAACTCAGGATAAAAAAAAATTGGGTTGGTAGGTACAGAAAAAGAAATTTAATTCAAAAAACGCTTGCAAATATGATGTTAAAATACCTATTAATGGGATAAGAAAACTTTGGAGTCAGAATTTAAAAAAAAAAAATTTCCTGGATGTTAAAAAAGTTTTAAGTCGGGCTGGTTTTCTTCAGGAGAGGGCAAACGAATTTTTTTTTTTAAAAGATGGCCTAATTATCCTAATTTTGAAAAGGAACATCTTGAGTCTAAATATGGTTGATTACAACTTTTAGATATAATTCTATGATAATAGAAAAATGCAAATTAATAACAGTTTGATTTATTTTGTTCATGAAACTTTTACACCTACACAGTAAATAAACCACTGACCAAAAATATAAAACTTCTAAGTAACATTACTTATAACCACATCTTCTGAAAAAAGATGGCATGTAGCATTTAAAAACTGAATATTCAAGTGCATTAACAATAGCTAATTCTGGGAATTGCGACACAAATTTCTCATTATTTTGTAAACGTCTCATTAAACCAAAAACACATTCTGCAACATTGAACTCTGGACTGTATGGGGGCTGAATAACTAAGTCAATCCCATGGTTATCCAGTAACTCTTTCAATAAACGTTCTCCTTGTCTTTGATGGTGGAAACTGCAGTTGTCCATGATGACCACATCACCGCGTTTGAACATTGGGCTCCCAATATAATATTTTTTTGGGAAGTGCTTCATTAAAAAAAGCAATCATTTCTAAAGCATTTGAGGCCCCATTTATTATATTAAAATGATTGATTCCAAAGAAATCACAGCAGATGTTGACAGTAAATGTTACAGAGCTTGCGTATTTTTGCACTTCAATGGCCCGTTTACTCTTGTGTGCATGTCCGTAAGAGCGATTTCAGGATGTTGTGATAATAGATGCCTCATCAAAAAAATGTCTCTGTGTATAATTATAGTTTAAAAGGGTACCTAAAAAAGCGTCTACCCTCTGCTCGTGGCCTTGTTGTAAAGTCTCATGTGGGATAACGGTCAACTTCTTGTGAGAAAAATTTAGCTCGTATTTCAATACATGTGATATTCATTTCACAGATGGTAAATTGTTAATAGTACATATTTGCTCATTTAATAATTTCTGTCGGATTTCTCTACAGTAAATTGAAGGTTTCTTCCATTTCTGGTATTCGATAAAATGAAGAACAGCCTGTGTGACTTTTCAGGGACTTTATGAACTTTTTCTCTGTGTTTTTATGACCTGATTTTGTTCATAATCCCAAACAATGTTTTTACATGTATGCGTACATTGTCCTGTTTGTTTTCCAATCGCTCTGTAGCTTTTACCTTGCAAATACAACTTGATTATAAGCTTTCTTTCTTCTTCCGACGTTTGTTTCCATGTTTTATGCGCCATTTTTGTCAACACGTTTTTTAATATGGGCAGAGCAATAAAAAAGCGCCAATCAGATTCTTTGTTGCATTTTGTAACTGAAATACTGACGAAATGAATTGTTTAACTGTCAAATCCATCTTTGTCGTCACTTAACACAATGCTATTACGGTCGTAGTGTATACTTTCAAGCGAGATTTGCGATAAATACAGTATATTTGTTAAAGTGAGTTGCCAGTTAACAATGTTAGTGCACATTGATGTTAATTTAAGGATATTCGATCCTCAGCCAGGAAGGATAACTCTTTAATTTATTATTTTATTTAAAAAGACTTAAAACGAAGCTTGAAATTGAGATCTTTTCGTGCAACAATTTTCATTTTATCTTAGTTAATATGATTCAAGGTTCTTTGAAGTCTTAGAAATGGTCTTGTAAAAAGTTGACATTTGTACCCCATAAAAGAAAAAAAATGAATTCATTTTAAGAGAAATCGAATTTCATTTAGTCTAGCATTATATACCACTGCTTATTAACATGATATGAAATCAGATGTGATATTTGATGTCTAGCAATGATAGCACAAGCTTTTTACACAATGTATTATATGACAATTGAAGTAAAAAGAACTAAAATACTGTACAAGCATAAAAAAGATGCAGTATTCTCCAAATGCCTGGATACCTATATTTTTCAATCCTAAATTATATATGTTGATCAATTTTCAATTAGAAAATGCATAACTGGTGTTTTTATTTGCATTTCCTGAAAATATATTTGAGATTTGATAATTTTCCCTATATAATATGATTAACTATAATGATGAACTTGAAGAAATTCCATGGGTAAATTCACGTTAATTACTAGATGAAATCAGAAGCATTTTTGTGAGCATTTTCAATTACTTAAAAGCTGATTTTCAGAATCGGACTACCTTAAATTTGTTGATACAGGGTGCATATTATGCCATATCAAAGTCCTTGTTAATTGAACCTATGAATTTTTTAAAATAAAATTCATATTTTTTTTTTCTCATTTTCAGTAGCTTTGATTTTTTTTTCCTCCTATTAAAATACTTTAACTGAGATGAAAGCGAAGCCATGCTAACATCACAGTTATAACTGTTATGAAATACATGGTACGCCAAGTAAAACTGGTCTTATTTACAATATTACTATAAGTGAACTGTTTTATTATATCTAATTTCATTATAAAAATATAACAAAGTCATCAGACAATGAGCATATTTTTAGAATTAGGAAACAGAATAAAGAACTATATAAACAACTTATCTAGAAATGCTTCAGAAAGATTCAACTCAAACTTCTGCCAGAGTTTATTTGCAGACAAAGCAGTCTCTTCCTACATGAAGCTTAAATGGGAGTTTGTCCCTTTGTCCCATCCCCGGTAGAGATCAAGTATTCAATTTATTCCTGTACAAACTAATGTAAGATACAGATTTAAGTTTCTTCAGAAATTTTCTCTTGCCCCATCAGATAAGCATAAGAATGACTAGGATAAGGTGGATCTCTAACACATAGGAAGTCGGGGGGGATTTTTTGTTGCATACATTTGTTTCATATAATAGACTTGATATCCAGTATGAAATAAAGCTCCAAAGTATTTAACTTAGTTTAAGCTCTACTGCTCAGAGACCAGAGGAGCTAATGCGATAGAAAGGTGTCCATCGTCCATCCATCTGTCTGTCTAGCTGTCTGTTTGCCTGCAAACAAATTTTCAAAATTCTACTCATCCTACAATTTTGGTCCCATTTCAATATAACTTGTCACACAAGTAAACTACACTAAGATACATAATTCTGTGTATCGGTTTTTTTTAATTGCATTGAACTGTGTTGCCATGGTAACTAAAATTAGAAATTTCTGTGAAATCTTTCAAAAAGCTAGTCCTTCTACAGTTTTGATCTGATTTTAATATTGTATAACTTGTTTTTGATTTTGGTGAATGATGTTGCCATGTTTATAAGAATAGAAATTTCTGTGCAATTCTTTCAAAATGCTACTCATCCTACAGTTTCAGTCCAATTTCAATATAACTTGGTACACGAGGAAACTACTCTAAGAAACATTATTCCATACAGTTTTTGATTTTAATGAACAGTGTTGCCATGGTTACTAAAAAAAGAAATTTCTGTGAAATTCTTTCAAATCATTACTCCTAAAGTTTTAGTCAGATTTCAATATAACTTGGTACATAAGTAGACTACATAAAGATACATAATTCTGTTTATCTGTTTTTGATTTTGTTGAAGTGTTGCCATTGTTACTATAAATAGAAATCTCTGTGAAAGTCTTTCAAAATGTTACTCCTACAGTTTTTGTCCAACTCCTTAAAATGACTTAGATAGAGACTAAACCAAGGATCATTATTTTATTTATTGCTGTTGCCATAGTTTCAAGTCCAAGTGCTAACTTTCTCTACTTTTGTTAAGTAAAAAACTAATAGAGCTACAGTCTTGTCAGATACTTCTGTTTTTAAAACGTATTAAATTCTTTTTTTTAGAAACCCTTATTTTTTATTTTGTTAAAAACATAATGCTATATAAGATTCTTAATGAAATCTTACAGAGAGAGAGGGATTCAAGTTTGCTCAAATCATGACCCCCGGGAGTAGGTTAGGGACGCAAGGGGGGATGTTTTAATAAAAATATATAGGAAAAAATCATTAAAATTCTTCTTCCCAAGAACAGCAAAGCAATGATTAGTCATATAAATTTGGAAGCATCTTCAGGTAGTATAAATTCAAGTTTGTTCAAATTATGACCCCTGGAGTTAGGGTGGGCCACAATGGGGGATTAAGGTTTTACGTAGGAATATATAGGAAAATATCTTTAAAAATCTTCTCAAGAACGGAAAAGCCATGTTTAATCATACTGATGTGGAAGCATCCTCAGATAGTGTAGATTCAAATTTGTTCAAATCATGACCCCTGGCGGTAAGATGGAGGCACAATGTGGGATCAAAGTTTTACATTAGAACAAATAGGAAAAAAATCTTTCAAAATCTTTTTCTCAGGAACCACTGAGCAAGAAGAGTTGAAACTTATGTGAGAGCTTCATTACATAGTTTAGATTCAAATTTGTTTAAGTCTTGACCCTCGGGATAAGGTGGGCCCACAATAGGCAATCAAAGTTTTACATAGGAATATATTGGAAAAAGTCTTTCAAAATCTTTGTTTTGAGATCCACTGGACCAGAAGAGTTGATACTTATGTGAAAGCTTGTTCAAGTCATGAGCACCGGGGTAGGGAGGGGGCCTCAATAGGCGATCAAAGTTTTATATTTATATGAAGGCAACCTAAAGTAGTGTAGATTCGAGATGGTTCAAATCAGGACCCCTGTTGGTAAGATGAGGGCACAATGGCAATCAAAGTTTAATGTAGGAATATACAGGGAAAAAAATCTGCTGATGAAGAACATTAGGGCATAGTGACTCAGGTGAGGGTTTTTTTCCATGGGCCTCTTATTTCAAGATATTCCCATTCATTCGGATTCCTATAAAACTCTACACTAGAAAGGGGTACTGGCATACTGGTTTTCACATGGCTGTCTTTCTATCTGGCTCTATGTCTGTTACAGAATCATGTATGGCCATAACTTTCAAACTGTTAATACTTGAGTATGTTTTCTGCTCATGGCCTATTATGTATATCATGATCATGACTCATTGTCATATACCAGAGGTCAAGGACACTGGGCAATGAGATAGTGAAAGTGTGTATGGGCTATATGATCTCAAACTAAGAATTGAATGGGTTTGAACTTCAATGTGTCATTTCCCATGAACTGTCTTGATTCTGATTCAAAGCTGTACCTTTTAGATCAAAGACAACCTGATACTGGTAGTTAAGTCCCAGTCAAAATTTGGAACCATTAACCTATGTTTGGAATAATTTTAAACTTGCAATTGAGTTTGGAGCTGAGTATTTGAGTAAACTCTAAGAGAATGTTTTCTTAATGGTGAAGATTTTTATTTTAGATTTATGCTGTTGCATCTTGGGATTCTACTGTCCATGATTCAGAGTTACTGAACCGTGTTACTTCATCCAATGATCGGATTTATCTGATCCTGAAAGTAGTTGTACGACTTAGTCACCCAGCTTACATGGAACTGGTTCTCAGAAAGAGGATTTGTATCAACATCTACAACAGTCTTAGCTTCACCAGTCTGACAGGGAAACTAAGACAGAAAATCACAGGCACTGTAAGTAGTGTAGACAGTTAATAAATTGATTATGTTCTGTTACTCTTTGTGTCGTTTGCAAAGCAAGCGACCCTTAGGGATCGCTTTACCAGGTGTCTGTCCCTCCTCTGTCCGTACATTTGTTTGCCTGTTTGTCACACCCAATATTTTGAAAAAAAAGGCTTGGAACAATGACCTTTATAAAGTACAAGGATTACTGACATCATGACTTTATAACATGACCTTTGTTATACTTTTCAAAACAGTTCAATATGCCAATAAACAGTATATTCTTTGTCAGAGGTAAATGTGTACTGTTTCAGTATTTTTCTTAATTTATTTTAAAAAATTTGACAATACATTCCAATTGACCTTTGACCTACTTTTCAGGAATACTCCAAATTATTACTCATATCTTTTGAATTTTGAGAGATAGGGCTTTGATAACTGGCATATACACCACCTGTTTATAAATTCATGGTACTTTATGATAAACATTTACCACATAGACTAAAATTTTTTTTATCACTTAGTTGAGTTAATATAAATTGGGATCTTTACTTGAGTAAAGTAATGGGAGTAAAGACAAAGTCAAACAGAAGTCTCTTTCAAGTTTCAAATCTGTGGGATTGTTGAATTAAACGTGAATAAATAAATTAATAGATAGAGGATATACAATATTTTAGCTGGATAGAAAATTTATTTCACTATTGGGACTGGATTTTTTTTTATATTTTCATGAGTGTAAATGATTGAAAATATCAAAAAGTGCTCTCTCATGAGTGAAATAATTCCGTGTCTTAATACCAAACTTTAAATTTTCTGTTTATAACATTTTCTTTGAATTTCTCTATCTTATCTCACTGTAATTGTGTTTGTGCCAATAAATAATTGTATTTTGTTTATTTCTTTCAGGAAAAGTTTTTTGAGAGTGGTGTAACCTACAGCGTGGTTTCCAATATTCCAAAAGTGAGTTAATACTGACTTAAGCCAAGAAAGAAAATGTAATTTATTGCCAGTTTTTTTTTATCAGAATATAAACTCTTGACTGTTGGACTATAGAACACTTTCCTCTATTGATAAGGCTTCTGAAGATTTAGAGAATATGGAAACCTTAGCCCAAATGGCAGCCTCTCAAAATGACATGAACACAGCTGATGGAGAGTCCTACATAGAGAAGTACCTGAAAGGTGTGCAGGGTGTGGAGAGTATTCTAATGGTGGACAGACTTCGACAGGAAGTTGCTGTTAAAGAATTATCCTCTCAAAAGTCACGATCTCTTACAAAGACCTACAGTGTTCCAAACATACATCAGGTATCTGATTTTGGTTGGGAACATTAACAAATTTGAAATTATGAATAGTAACCTCATGTTTTTACACAGTCACACAGTGTTAAAATAGTGACAACTTTCATAGAAAAAACTTCTTTTCTTATTAATGCACATATTTATCTACATTCTGAATGTACTCTAAGGCTGAGCAAGCAGTGTAATTTTATACTTTGCACATGCTTTTTCACTAATTTAGATATCTTAGTCAAATTCTTCTAAACATTTTCTGCTTATGTGTAGTTGCTAGCTAATAGAGTTTGCAGTGATTTTAATGCAGTTAACATTGTTTTCAGAGTGTGATGTCACCATTGCAGGATAGACAGGTATTTTTCTAACAATCATAATGTATAATCATCACTGAGAGCTTCTAAGGGAGAATTTCATGCATACATTCTTTTATTTTATAAGAACAAATTAACTAAAGGCTTATGTGAGCAATGCAGATCATAGATATCTGGCGTGTATCTGTCATATATAGATCATTTGCTATGTTTTTTCTTACATTTTAGGCTCACCTGAGCCTTCAAGTGAACTTTTCTAATCAAAGTTTGTCCATCTGTCTGTCTGTTAACTTTTTATCCCCCACTCCAAAGGAGAGGGGGGTATACTGTTTTCGCTTATGTGTATGTGTGTCTGTCTGTAGGTAACAAATTTTCGTCAGTTTTCTCAGCAACTACTCATCGCAGATGCTTGGAATTTTAGCACACTCTTTATTTTGGCATGCCATATGGTGGTATTTTTTTTTTTTACAAATCTGATGTCAACTTCCTGTTTATCCTTGCGTCTGTCCACAACAAATTTTCATCTAGCGTCTGTCCATATCAAATTTCTGTTGCACTTTTCTCAGCAACTACTCATCACAGACGCTTGAAATTTTAACACGCTCTTTGTTTAGCATGCCATATGGTGGGATTTGTTTTTGTACAAATCCGATGTCAACTTCCTGTTTATTCATGCATTTGTTCAGAGATGTCTGTTCGCAACAAATTTTTATAACGGTTTTCTCAGCAACTACTCATTGCAGATGCTTGAAACTTTAGCACACTTTGTTTTGGCATGCCATATGGTGGTATTCATTTTTGGCTCACCTGAGCTGCTTTTCTGATCACATTTTGTCTGTAGTCCGTCTGTCCGTCCATCTGTAAACTTCACATCTTTGTTTTCTTCTGCATAACCACTGGGCCAATTTCTACCAAATATTGCTACAAAACATCCTTGAGTGAGGGGGATTCAAGTTTGTTCAAATGAAGGGCCAGGCCCTCTTTCAAGGGGAGATAATTCAGAAATAGTGAAAATTTTGTGGCATGATTTAAAAATCTTCTTCTCAAGAAGCACTTAGCCAAAAAAGTTGAAACTTATAGGAAACCTTCTTTACAAAGCATATATACAAGTTTGTTCAAATCATGACCCCCGGGGTGAGGGTGGGGCCAAAATTGGGGATCAAAGTTTTACATAGGAATATATAGGAAACAAGATGTGTTTGTGATACACCAATGCCCCCATATGGCAACTTATAGCGAAGGTTAAATTTTCTCAAATGCAAATCAAATATACTGAAATGCAAAAGAAATGCAACATCCTATTTTAGGGGGAAATATATATAGGATATAATTTTGTATCTAAAAAGCAAGGACATCTTCAACTTTGTAAATATCGGTAATTTAACGGTTGAATGATTTTCATACAATTACCGGAAGTTAAGTTTGAGTCCGCTTAACAGAAATCAAAAATTGCATGTTAATAAAACATTTTGCAATGACATGTAATTTCAGGAAGCCTTGGCATCGCTTCTGTAAAAGAAAGGAGAATTTATTTTTCGGAATATTGCTGCAGTACTTCATGATTAAACTTTTAAAAAAATATTTGGAATAACATTATTTAAAGTTGAGTATATATTATTAGATTTAATATAAGAGTACACAAAAGTAAGACTCAGTTGATATTATCATTTTATTGACTGACAAGAAAAAAGAGACAACACCTAATTCAGAAAAGAAAAAAGAAAGATCTACCTGTCACATTGAATTTTGAAATTTTTGGCCATAGAAACTTCAGGTTAATTTTTTTTGGCCTTATGCACAGCAAAATTATTAGTGATATAATGATAAAAAAAGATTTTAATGGTAATCTAACAACAAAGCTTTATGACAAACATGATGACTAACTTTTCAATCAACTTCCCTTACTTATGCAGCAGTATACCCTTATCACCTGCATATGGGGTGTATATCTCTCAGTTGATTCCATACGTAAGAGCATGCTCTACGTATGAACAATTTTTAAATCAAGGTAAGTTATTGACAAACAAGTTGATGAAACAAGGAAACCAAAAGTCATCATTCCCTAAGTTTTATGGTCGATACAATGACCTTGTCAGCAAATACAATCTATCTTTAAGTCAAATGCTGACTGAAATTTTTCATACTAATTGTTAGGCCATTATTTACACACTGAATTTTTCCATTATTTCCCCATCATGACAAGGAGCACATGGCGAGTGTGACCGGTCGGCAGGGGATGCTCACTCCTCCATGGCACCTGATCCCACCTCATGTTTTAGAGGTTCGTGTTTGCTGTGCTCCAGTTTTGTATAGTTTAATGGACTTTTCAGCTTGAATACTGTTCGATATTTCCTTATATTTCATGCAAGCATTCCCAGGTAGTTAAGATTCAAGTTTGTTCAGATAGGTACCTCAGGAATAGGTTGAGGCTACAATAGGGGCTCACAGTTTTCATAGGAATATAAAAGGAACAAATCTTTTCAAGAGTGGCAAGACTGCACTAAATCATTTTAAAAATACCTAAGTTATGTGAAATCCTTTTACTTTGATTCTGAGTCCTGGAGTTAAGGTTTGCCGAAATCAGATATCCAAATTTTTATGCCTCCCTTCAAAGAAAGGAGGGCATATTGCTTTGCTGCTGTCTGTCGTTCCACCAACAGTTTCCGTTCATTTTCTTTGCAGATATTCACATACTGAAATGAAATTTGGTATACAGATTTATCATGAGAATATCTAGGTCAAGTTCTGTTTTGGGTACGATCGAGCAATTTTTGACAGAGTTATGCCCCTTGGACTTAGAAAAATTCCAGTTATTTGGGGGAGGGGGAGGGGGGCATAAGTGTTTCACAAACATCTCTTGTTTATTATCATTTGTATAGGGAAGAAAATCTCCTCCAAAACAGCAAGGCCATGTTGATCATATTGACAATGAAGCATCCCAATTTTGGGATTCAACTTTGATAAAATCATAGCTCTCTTAGGACTTTATTTGGTCCACAATATGGAGTCAAAATTTTTATGAAATTAAAGAAGGAAATTTTTAATAAGAAATCTGATGATGAGAACATCAGGACCAAAGTGACTCAGGTGAGAGTTATGGCTCATGGGCCTCTGTTCAGATTTACATTTGAAGAAAATTGATAGGATTATGCATATGGTGGGAGCACTTGAATCCTATTGAACATCTAGTTTTCTATTAAAAAAATACTTGAATGTATTGCAAACCTTCCTACTGTTTCAATGATTCATAGAAATAAGAAATCATTGTGTTAAATTAAAATGCATTTGTTTTCCTAGCTCTTCATATTGTAAAAAAAAATTGTTTATTTTGTTTGATTGGCCAGAGGTTTGGGGAAATATAACCAGGTATCTATAATTTTGTACCATTCAATTTTTTGCAGCAGAATCTTCGAGCTGACAGTATACAGGATTTGTCACATGACCAGAGTTTGTCTCCTGGTCGATTTGGATCTCCAGGTAACAAGTGTATTTGTTTGAAAGTGGTATGAAAAGAAACTCTGTGTTAAACAGCATTAATACTTTACTGTTGAAAAAAATTATTAATTGGACTGAGGTGCACAAAGCCTTATTAACTTATAGTTATGTAACTTTACCAATATTTCTATTTGAATTTTGCATTAGCTAAAAGAAAACTGTTATTTAGATTCAATTACTTTTCATGCAACTGAACCTTTGGGAAACAGGTATCAGATGGGCTGAAGTGGCCATATATAAGCTTTTTAGGTCACCTATTGACCTATTGCTTTCTGTTTTTGTTTGTCAGTTGTCCATTAACATTGAACATTTTCAGCTTCTTCTCTGGAAGGACATAACCAATTTCAACCAATTTTGGTATATGGCATCTATGGGCAAAGGGAAGTGAAATTTGTTAATTTCATTGCCCCCCCCCCCCCCTCCCTGCCACACACTCTGAGGGATGGGGCCAAAACCATTAAAATTAATGTAATCTTCAAAAATCTTCTATTTTACTCCTGGATATCAACCATTCAAACTGTGGGCATGATTATTATAAGCATTGAACCCTCTACCAAAATTGTAAAATTCATGGCACTAGGGTTGGGGTTCAGATTTGGGATAGGGCTTTATTGATCAGATTGTGAAAATGAATAAATTAAAAAAAAAAAATTTTTCTCCACCTGTATATTTAGCAGATAAACTAAGTGCACATAATGAGCAAGAATGCGCCTACCAACCTGGTTCAGGGACTGTGTGTGTAGGATGAGGCTCTATTCATTTGATTATTTAGTTGAAATGCATTAATTATCAAAAATCTTCCCTGACCTTGGGTATTTTTAGCAGACAAACTAAGTGATGAGCAAGGGTGCCTCTTTCAAAATTGTGAAATTCTTGGCCCTGGGTCTGGGATTCTGGTGTTAGGGCAGGGCTCTGTTGATCATATATTGAAAGTGCACTATTTCTTTAAAAATTTTCTATGCTCCTAGGCATCTAAGAGGCATACAGAGTACAAAGTTTTTTTTAACCAGATTTGTTTGGATGGAATAGGGATTTTGAGGGTTTACTATCTATATACTGACTTAATGTTGGAACACTATTGTGTGGTTAAGTTTGGTGATAGTGATAGTGTAGGTAGCACTGTCACATACAGTTTATTTTGTTTTATTATATAATTATTCAATTGTCATTCCATCGATTCTTTACAAGGTTTTCATTATTATACTCAGTTGCTTGTTAAGGCACTTGGGCGTTTTGTCTTTCTGTGAAATGATTAAAGGCCAAGCCTCCTGTCCTCTTCATATCTAGAATGAACCCTAAATTGTTTTTGTGATATATATATAGTGAACTGTTACAATACATGCACTGAAATATCCTGCATCTGTGCTTTTGTAAGAAAGTGATCTCACACACAGGCTACTTTTGTTTATTTTGCATTGTTAAACATTCTGATGATCATCAAAGAACTGGCTTAGAATTAAAAATCTTTCTGACAATTGTCAGCTGCTGTGATAAGCTGAAGTATTTGGTATCATGGAGTTTGTTGTTTTTCAGAGAGACCAAACTTTCTGAATTTGAGATCCCTTGCGATCTCGCAACGTACGTGTACTACTCTTCTCTCGATGTGTTACCACGGTAGTAACAGTTTGATTCACCTCCCTAATCACATAATGCATGGATGTTGTTAAGCAAATAAAATGTTGTCAATTAAATGTTGTACAGTAGCATGCTCCATAAGAATTGTGTTTTCTTCTTAATTTGAAAGATCTATTCCCTTTAATCAAAAATCAAAAATTACTAGGGATGTCAATTTTATTCCGACAGCTAAGTCGAATAGTCGGAGGCTTTAGTCAAATGATAGTCGAATATTCGTTGAAATTTTTATTAATTTTTCATGTCAATTTCACTATTTGTCTTTTATAGACTAGTTGTACAGTATCTAACCTACGCTATCACCGTTATACAATGAATTTCTGAATCGTAAACATTTACGTACTACAATAAATACTGTACTGTAACATCTACATTTATCTAATGTATTTGATTTCAAAATTAATATACTATTTACTGCACATTTTATCTAAATGCAGGATATCAAACGCTCGCATTTGTCCTTTCTTTTCATAACGATAGTACATGTACAATTTTGTAACAGCTGTTTAATTATTCTTTATGAATAGTTGCGTTACGTCATATCTTATGGGATTGCAGGTTGAAACTTTATAATTTGAATCTACAAAACCAAACAATTCTTAAACGTCCTCTCCATTTAAAATAATAAGTGGTAGACAATCCTTGATAATCATGTTTGTGATAGCAACATTTCCTTTCCAGCTCTGTTTTTTGGCATTTTTGCGGAGAACTTACTTAAGAAAAGTTTCACTTGAAGATTGTGTTTACTAAATGTATGTTTGACAGATTTGGCATATGATATATCATATTTGATGTTCCACTGCAGAATACAAGTTCAGTTTCACATAACCTTGATAATGTACTTTTAACTGCTTTTCCATCCTGATATCTTTTAAAATATACCAAAACTGTAGATTTTGGAGGCATATTTGCCGAACAAAGATCAACATAAACAATAATTTCCTTTGAACAGTTAAACCATATCCTGAGTTTTACTTGCGAGAACATTGATTTGTAAATAAATGAAATGGGCGAATCAAGTTTATTACCTTGAATTTAAAATTACTTTTAGGCAACACTTTTTTAAGGAATAACCGACTAAGGAAATTTTAGTTGATAGTCGGTATGATCGAACGATAGTCGAGTATTTGAATATTTGTTGACATCCCTAAAAATTACTGTTTAAAAATTACTGTTTTAGTGGAATACATTGTTTTTAATTTCACTATATGCTTGCAATCAAAGACTTTTTAAATTAAGCCATTGTGAATATTTTGGACATATCAATGCAGCATTCAATTAACTATACAGCTGTACACTTTAAAATCCTGTTTTTCTATTTGTAACAGTAAAATCGTAAATAATTGATTTTATAAGAAAACCTGAGGTTCATAACAATGGTGCATTAAAGTTAGTTACTGGGTCTGTTTATTTTAAATAACTAACCATGAATTTCTTTCTTTTCAAAGACTAATTTAAGGTAGTATGGGATACCTCCACGTTATGACGTACTTCCGTTTGAAGTATTGTTTTGATTTGGTTGAATGCTTTTTAGCTCACCTCGACGAAGTTGAGATGAGCTTATACTATACCGTCGGTGTCGGCTTTAGTGTCAGCTTCCAGGTTAAAGTTTTAGGAGCAAGTCCATTCCCAAGTAACTATAAGCCCTACCTGGACCAAACTTGCATGGATGATGCATATAGGGATGGACACTACCACACTTGCTTCGGATACTGGATCTGACCTAGATTTTCCAGATGAGTGACCAGGTTAAAGTTTTTGGAGCAGGTCCATTCCCAAGTAACTATATAAACCCTACCTTGACCAAACTTGCATGGATGATGCATCTAGGGATGGACACAACCACACTTGCTTCGGATGCTGGATCTGACCTAGATTTTCCAGATGAGTGACCAGGTTAAAGTTTTTGGAGCAGGTCCATTCCCAAGTAACTATAAGCCCTACCTCGACCAAACTTGCATGGATGATGGATCTAGGGATGGACACTACCACACTTGCTTCGGATGCTGGATTTGACCTAGATTTTCCAGATGAGTGACCAGGATAATTTTTTTGGAGTAGCTATATAACATTATGGCCTGTTATGATTAAACTTGCATAGATGGTGCATCTAAGGATGAAAACTTCCAGACTTACTTTGGATGTTGGAACTGACCAAAATTTTCTTGATTAGTAAACAGGATAAACGTTTTTTGAACAGGTCTATTTCCAAGTAACTGTAAGTCGTACTCTAACCAAGCTTGCACGGACATTGATCTTGGGATGTACACTAAATTAAAAAAAATATGTGAAATTTGCCTTACTTAAAAATAACATTCATCGAGGTGAGCTTCGTAATCTTTGATTACCTATGTTTTTGGACATTTTAAAAAAAACAAACCCTTTAGAAGATAATTAAACATAGCTGCTTTTGAACACTTTTAAGCATATACATGTATTTCAATTGTTTGAGTAACTGTACACCACCTTGTGTGCAGAGAGGCATGGATAAGTATGATTACTTCACATTGTGCTGAATTATTACCAATCAATTATCATGTTAACCTGAACTGGTCTTCTTTCTTATTTCATTCAGTAAGTAACTGTTTGATCACATATAGCCCCAAAACTTTTAGAACTCTGATTGCTATTGCTCTGAAGGAGTCAAATCTTAGAAAGCGATTGTTCATGCATTGTTTTCAGAACTATAAATGCACTATCACTGCACAAAAGTGTGATTTTTAGCTCACCTCGACAAAGTCGAGCTTATGCTATACCCCTGGCATCGGCTTAGCGTCGGTGTCCCGGTTAAAGTTTTAGGATCAAATCCCAATCCCAAGTAACTATAAACCCTACCTGGACCAAACTTGCATGGATGATGCATCTAGGAATGGACACTACCACACTTGATTCGGATGCTGGATCTGACCTAGATTTTTCAGATGAGTGACTAGGTTAAAGTTTTTGGAGCAGGTCCATTCCCAGGTAACTATAAGCCCTACCTAGACCAAACTTGCAGGGATGGACAATACACACTTGCTTCGGATGCTGGATCTGAGCTAAATTTTCTACATGTGAGATCAGGTTTAGATTTCGGAGCAGTCCTATTCCCAAGTAACTATAAGCCCTACCTGGACCAAACTTGCATGGATGATGCATCTAGGGATGTACAATAACCAACCTGCTTTGGATGCTGGATATGACCTAGACTTTCCACAAGAGTGAATTTTAGCCATATTTTAACCAAATTAGCATGGATGATGTATCTAGAGATGGACACTTCCCTACTTGCTTTGGATTCTGAATCTGACCTACATGTTCCAGATGAGTGACCAAGGTAATTTTTTTTGGAGTAGCTATATACAATGTAA